GAAGAAATTGATTGGTCGGTTTTCAAAATCTCTTTTTCAATTGGTTGGATAAAAAAGGAAAAATTAAATGCATTAAAAAAGTCTGCAACGACCAATCATAAAACATTAATAGAGCGAATCAGTCATTAAAATTTTATTTATTTTAAAAAGAGTACGAATATAGTTTAACACATTTTTACAAACACCAAAGTTTATTATAAATTTTTTATATTTTATCATAACGGTTTTTTAATGTTTTCTAAGAATAACTATAAAAATTTTTTATGATCTTTTTTATTCTTGACTTTTTTAAATATTCTATAATACTTGTTAATATTATATTATAAATTTCAATGTATATATAATAATGCTAAATATAAATGAATTATTAAGTTTATATAACAATTGATATTCACTATAACAAATGAAGATGATATTTTAGAATCAGGAAGGATAGTTGTGATAAAAGTTTTACTATAAATTTTTTATATAAAAATTATACTTATAATTATTTAAAAGTTTTTCATTATGAAATGTTATTATTATTATCCTTTTTAGGATGTTTCGTAAATTTTGGTGCGTTCTGTTTTAAATATCCCGTTGAAAATTTCAAGCCGCTTCATTGCATTTACGAAGAAAAGGAAAACTATTATAAAGAATTGTTGGAATTATACTCTTATTTATTACTTTCTCAAGTAATTATTATAACTACTATTATTATTATTACTATTATTATTATTAAAGGATCGTTTTAATTATGAAACTAAACTTGCTTTCGACGTTATTTCTGTGGAATTTTTGACTTTATTTGCTGAACAGCTTTCACTGAAAACTTTGTATAGTTGGATTCTTCCTTTTTTCACGCGTTTATTAGCTGCTCCTGCTAGTTTGTTTGATTATGTGGTTTATATCTTTTTCTCTCTTATTCCGGTGAGTTTTATAATAATAATAATGATAATAATAATATCAATAAATAAATAAATAAACAAATTAAAATCAATTTAATATCAAATAAAAATTGATAGCTATACTAATATGTAAAAATTAGGTTAATTTAAAAAATCTAAAATAATAATAATGAATAATAGATATTCTTAATTTTGTGTTTAATAATAATAATTAAATAGAAGTGATTATATAAATAACATATAAATACTAATACAGAATAGTAATAGAAATAATAACAATTAAAATTTTATAAAATAGAATAATAGTGATATTAATAAGTAAATATAAAGTTGTTATATTTTATAATAGACAAAAAATATATAATATAATAATAAGTATTAAGTATTTATTATACTTCTGTATTAATAATATTAATAAATATTTTTTTAATTGATATAATAAAACTTTGAAATTTTTATTAACTAAAATTTTTATTATAGAATTATTAGAATTATATGACTAATCATTAGAAAATAAGTAATAATAATATAATTTCTAATAACTATTTTCACTAAGGAAATATGAATATTTTTTAAGGTTAATAATATTATTTATTAGAAATAGTAAAGAAATAAGAAATATATATAAAAAATATTTTCTAAAATTCATAAAAGTTTACAATTTTAAAAATAAATAAATAAATAAATTATATATATTTTTTAAAAATTTTTTTATTTAGTTTAGAATAATAATACAACATAGAAATATATAATTAATGACAAAAATAATTATAAAAATATTGTAAAAAAAAAACATTCATTAAAGTTAGGAATAATAATAAATAGAAATATACGAAATGTATATAATGAAGAAATAATAAAAATTTTATAAAAAATTATTTAAGTTTATAATAATATTATAAATAAGAACAGAAATATATTTTAAAAAAGTGATAATAAAAGGAATAGTGACTTCTATTTTTTTTAAAAAGTTCTGGAAGTTTTACAAAAAATTAAAAATAAATATAATATTTTATATTATATAAAAAAAATAAGAATAATTTTTAGTGATAATAGTTATAACGCAGTAATAATAATATTAATTTTAACTTTTAATACTAATTAAAATATTATATTAATGTTAGAAAGGGAAATATTAATAATTGAGCTTTTAAAAATAGTAAACTTCACTTTTATTATATATATAGAAAAATAATATAATTATTTAGTAATAATATTATTAATTATGATAATAATATATAATAATAATAATTAAACTTTTTTATAGGAAGCACTAATATCGGAAGTTATTGGGAATATTTTTTTATATTTATCAATTGAAGTTCATCACAATTTTTTTTTGCCTGAATATTTTGAGAAGTCCATTTGCGCTCTTAAATTAGCTATAAACCTTTTAAGTATTTTTTATAACCTTTTTTTAATGAAAAATTTATTATTATTTTCATTATAATATTAGAAAACAAAGTTTAAAAATTATTTTTGGTTACATGCAAAATTTACTTTCTTATTATATTCTTTAAAAAATTTTCAGCTGTTATAAATTATCGTGAATTTTGAAATAATTGAAATTCATTAAAAATTTAAATTTTATTTAAACTTATAACTTTTAAAGAATTAATAAAAGCTTTAATATGAATAATAAAATATTTTATAATAAATTTTTTTAATTAAGAGCAAATTTTTTACAGAATTAAAAATAAATATTATAATTTATTAACCAATGAAATAGCTTATCTAATAATTTAGCCAAAAATTTAGATACTTCTCAATACTCTATATATATAAATTCGTATAAAATTTCTTGTTAATAGTTATAAAAATTTTACTGAAAAAAATATATATTTATTAGATTTTTTACCTCTAAATTTTTTTATATAAACGTTAGAATAAAATGAGTATCTACATATTTTTTATTTTCTAGCAAATTATGTTATTATTGTAATGAGCTTATTAAAGCTATAAAATAATTTTTTTTAAACTTTTTTAAAACTATATTTTTTAATATTACTTATATACAACTTTTTTTTTTTTATAAGTGTTTTCATTTTATTATTGAAGAAAAAATTGTTTTACTAAAAATTTCTAAGATTTATAGTTTTTTCACTGGTAATGAAATATTTATAACTAAAAATTTGTTTAATTTTATTTTTTTAACCAATGAAATTGGTTATAAGTGTAAATAAAAATGTTGAAACTCTTGTTTATGATATTTCTATGAATTGTTTTTATGTTTTTTTAATAATCAAGAAAAATACTTCACTGAAAATTTTTTTTACTAATAAAGTTAACAAATTTTTAGTAAAAATAATGGAATAATTATAAAAATATAACTTCGTTGCATTTAATGAAGAGCAGTATATTATTAAAAATATAATTTTACAATTTTATTTAATTAACAAAATTGTACCTAAAAAAAAATTTTTTTTACTGAATTTTTTAAGTTTATTAGTTTTTTTACTGATAAAATAGTTATATAGTAAAAATTTTTCTTTATATTCGAAGAAAGCAATCGTTATATAATTTATATTTAGCCAATGAAACGGCACTTAAAAAGTATACTTAATAACTGAAATACTTTTATACGATTTATATATTTATTATAATATTTTATTTACTCTATTAGTTTTATATTTTTTTATAGTGGATAACCCTCTCTTTATTTAAATGAAAGCAAAATCCAACTAAATAGTTAAACAGTTTTTATTTAACCAAAAAATGACCCTAAAATTTTAGTATAAAATAATATGAACTTTTAAATAATATTTTCATATAAATCTTAATTATTTTTTTTCATTATTATATTCATCATAAGAAAAAATTTTTTAGTGAATTTTTTGTTAACGGTATCAGTTCATTTACCAATAAAATAGATTTTATAGTAAACAGTATAATAATTTTTAAATTTTATTATTCATTATATTTATGTAAAGCATTAACAAAAATAATTATTCTATTATTCTTTTATCAATAAATGGTACACATTATAAAATAATTATCACTTTTTATATAATTATAGATAAATTATAATAGTTTTTTTTCCTTTATTATACTCAAGAGAAAACTTTTATAGTGGAAATTTTGTAGTTTAGCAGTTTATTTACCCATAAAATATTGTTTATAGTAATAAATAATGAAATTTTTTTATATATTTTTTCTTTATTATATATAATGAGCAGGTATTAAGAAAATAGTTATTTTTTAACCAATAAAATAGCATTTTAAAAACTTTAAAAGAAATTGATTATAATTTATCTTATTCATTATAATTAATGAAAAGCAAAAAAATTTAGAGTTCTTATTAAATTTTTTAAACCGATAAAAATGGTTTAATTTCGAAAACTTTTTTATTTTATAGAATTTTTTAACCAATCATAACTTTTATAAATCTTTAAGAAAAAATAATGATAACTATTTTTAAATATTTTTATAATATTATATAATTTTTTAATTTATTAATAATATATTTTACATAAACTTTTAACCATTTAATTGTTTATTTAGAGTTTTATAATAATTTTTCATTATATTTTGTGAAGCATAAAAATTATCTTAATAAATTTTGTTTATTCCAATAAAATAGTTAATATGAATATTTTAGTTATAGAAAAATAACTATTTTTAATTTTTTTATATTTTTCATAGCAATTTCTCTATTTTTTTTATAATAAAAGTTAACCATTTGTTATAGTTTAAAGAAAAACGTGTAATAATAGTTTTAAAGCTTTAAAAAGTTTATAAAAATAATGAAATTTTTCCTTTAAAAAAATGTTGGCATTCTTTATATATATGTAAATTTTATTTTTCTATAAAACTTAGGGAAAAAAGTTTATTGTCTTTATTAATAATATTGAATAATATAATTATAAAAATAAGTCTTTCAAGAGCTCTTATGTTTTTTAAACTTTTTTAAAAAAGAATGCTTATTTTTGTGAGAACTTCATTATATTTGTTGTTTATATAAGGTGTGATAATAATAATAATAATAATAATAATAATAATAATAATAATAATAATAATAATAATAATAATAATAAAACAGAACTTTCCCAAAAACTGAGCAATAACAAAACTATTCAAGAAAATTTTGATGGCTGCTATTCGTTCTTCGATGCGATGACTTTTTTTGTGGGCTTTAAAATATTGAATTCTGAAGACTTAAAATTACTTCTTCCGGTTTACTATATTTTATTATTATAATTATGTGATTATTATTGATGCTTATTATGCTTATTATTATAATAATTATTTTCATAATTTTGATTTTTGTATATCATTACAGTTTACTTTTACATTATAAATAGATATAATATATCAGTTATTATATTATCTAAAAGTTAAATAATTGTAAAATATAATAATTTTATTTGATTATAATAATATTTAATACTATTATTATTATAAATATTTATTCTTTACTAAATTTTTTTATAAATATAAATATTTTATTTATTATTATTACTTTATATTTATATAAATTTCTTATTACTTATAGGATGCTTGGCTGCCCTCGGTTCGCTCAACTTTTCCGTTCAAGGAAAATACTGAATTTGTTGCATGGCGCCAAAAGCTCCGGAATTCGCTCAATTTTTATAGAAACGAACAACTTGAATTTTTTAAACTGTTTTTCAATAAATCTTGTGAAAACTTTTTTTTTGCGTGGCTACCGTCTCTCACTCAAGATGTGACTGCCTTCCACGAGGTTCCTTTTATTATTATTCGCTATATTTTTATTGCTTTTCATTAGTTTCACTTTCATAATTCATTGTATTATATGATTATTTTCCTTTTTGCGCTTTTTTGCTCTCCTGTATTTTTAATGAAATTTTTTCTCCCCAATATTGAAGGTTGCCCTTATTTTTTAAAAAAGTATTAATTGCTACCAACTATTCTGTTTTTTCTATTTATTGCACTTTATTGTTCAACGTTACAATAAAAAATAATGAAGAAACCCCCAATTTTTATGGTAACTATTCTGACTGGCCCGTATTTATATGAAAGACTCGCGAGTTTCATGTGGCCGCCAACTTATTTTTTATAATTCTTCAGCTTCTTCAGAATACTCCTTTAACTTGTAATCAATTATTATTGTTATGTTTGCTATAATTATTTTTATTATAATATTTATCATACATTTATACTATAATTATTGTTATCATAATATTATTTATTGCTTTATTGCTTATATTTTTTGTTATCATTATATTTATCATTATATTTATTGCTAAAAATAATTATATATATTATATATAATTATTGTTTTTATAATATTGATCATTATATTTATTGTTATAATTATTATATTTATTATTATAATACTTTATATAATTAATATAATTCTCCTTATTGCTATTATTATTTTTACTATTATCTTTTTATTATTACTGTAGTAAATACTGTTTTTACTATTATCATCATTATTACTATTATTACTTTAATTATTATTTTTACCATTATATTCACTATTAGTATTATAAATAATTATTTCTTTCTAGTAAACTATAAATACTTTTATTTATTTATTATATCAACAATTATAATCTTTTCGATAATTATGATGATTTTTTCTTTCAATATTATCCTTTTCACTATTATTACGATAATTTCTACTATTTTTTCCTTATTATTATTATTATTGTAAACACTATAATTATTATTTTCACTATATCTTTTATTAATTAATTAGTAAACTATTTATACTGCTATTATAATTTTAATAATTATTTTATTTATTTATATTATTATATAGCATATATACAAAGTTTTTCATCCCTTTTCGTTCTTGATGAACCACTTTTTACTTTTGCTCGTCTAAAAGGAACCATTGAACATCTTCGGGCTTATTCTGGTAACAGTAACAACGACTATAATAATAAATAACTCATTAAATAATAAATTAAAAAAAAAAAAAACAGAAACACATAAATATTTATAAAAACTATAATAAGTATTTTTTATAATATAATAAAAATTAATAAAACTTTTTTTATAATACCTTTTTCTTATTACCAAAAAAACGATATATTTACTTTTTTTTTATAATTAAATAAAAAATTATAAAGGACAAAAAAATTTTATTACTCTAATTAATATTGAAATTGTATTTTGATGTATCTATAACAAAATCATAAATAGTAATACTTTTATGCTTTGACAATAATTTTTCTGACTTAATCAAATTAAAAATTTAATATGAATATTATTATTATATTGAATTACTTTTTATTATATTATAATAATATACAATAAACTTAAAAAATAATAAAACAAAAAAATAGTAATATTTTTTGTATATATTTTATATAATAATTTTTTTTTTATTTTTTTTATGAATTTCAAATTTAATATGAAATTTTAATTTTTAAAAATTTATTTATTACCGAAAAAAATAAAAAATACACTTTTTCTGCAACTTTTAAAATGTCCTCTTCGTTTAATATTAATATATGAAACAAATAAGATAGTTATACTTTTATATATTTATAATATATAAGAATATACAAATTTTTTTACTATAAATAGAAATAAAATATCTTGCAAGCAACTTAAAATTTTATTATTAATATAAAATTTTATAGTAATACTTTCACATTTTTCTATAGTATATATAATAATTTCTTAAATATTAATAATTACGATTCGAATAAAAAATTGTATATGAATATTAATATTTTTAGGAACTTCGTTTATCATAAAAAATAAAAATAAATTATATATAATAGTTTCTACCAACTTTTTTAATATTTATATATACCACAACATAATAGTATTACTTTTGTATCATTACAGTATACTCTAATAATTTTTTTTAAAAGTATTAAAAAAATTATTTATCTTTAAGATAATTTACATGAAAACTTATTTTTTTTAAAGTTTACTATTTATAATAATAAAAAAATAATATATAAAGCAACTTTTTTTTAAACTTAATTACTATTATTTTATAATAAAGCAATTTAATAAAAGTAATTTTATGTCAGGAAAGCATTTTATTATTAATTTTACTTAGTATTATAAAAAATAAAAACCAGAAGAACCATTTTTTATATGAAAATTCAAAATTTATTAAATTTTTTTATTACAATGAAGAAATAAAAAATTTATAAAGCAACTTTTTATAAACTTTTTACAACAAAAATTTATAATAAAACAATTTTAATAAATACATTTTATGATATTAAAATATTTTAAACCGAATAACGAATTTTGATAGGAACTATTATATTTTGAAAAGTTTTGTTATTACAATTAAAAATAGTTTTAGAAATTAGTATGAAAAATTATATTTTGAAAAGTTTTTTTATCACTTATAAAAAAATTAATTAATATGCAAATAAGAAAATTTCTTATACAAGAAAAAATTTTTATAAAGCAACTAAAAGTAACGCATATGACTAATTTTTTCATTTAATTTCCTTAAATAATCTTCTATATTGTACTCTCAAAGTTGCTAAATTGGTTATTTTTTTTATACATTTACTTTTTATAATTATTATATAAAAAAAGTTTATTATTATTATTTATTATAACTATACTTATTATATAAAGATTGCGATTCTCCGGGCGCCAGTAAAGGCGACTATAATGTTGATGGTTCACATATTATATTATTATTATTATTAATATTAGTATTGTTATTATTATTATTACTATTATTATTATTTAAATACTATTAATAATTATCATTATTACTTATTAGAAATTTATTGTGTTTATATTTATATATATATAATAAATATATTATTTTGCCTTTATTTACAGTTATTTATTATCCAATTTTTTATTTAATATTTGTATATATAAATATATATTATGTTTATTTATTATGCATTATGAATTATATTGCTCTTATTATTAATTAAAAAATTTTTATGTTTATTTATAAGATCTTTATATACTTATTTTTATTATATATAATAAATATATTATTTTACTTATTTATGTCGTTTATGTATTAATATTTTATTTAAATATTTTTCTTGTATATATTATTAAGCATTATTAATAAAAAATACTATTATTATTGTTTATAAGCAGTTTTATATGTAATTTTTTATAATTTATTATATTTTAATGAATGATATATAAATATTCTTTTTATTATTTATTTAAAAATTGATATTTATATATATAATAATTTCCTACCTACGTTTACTTATTATTCATTATTAATTATAAATACTATCATTATTATTCCTGTTTTTATATATTTCTCTATTTTATTTTATATTAATATTCATTGCTATTCTTCTGTTTATGATGCATTATTAAGAAAAACATTATTTTTATAATTTATTAGAAGTTTCTGTTAATATGTATTACTTCTAATATATATATTATTAATAATATCTAAGAAAATATTATAATTATTGTTAATATTATTATTTATTGATATTAATATTTATAAAAATTTTTTCTTGTGTTTATTTATTATGTATTATTATATATAAAACTTTTATTGTTATTATTATTTATATTTAAAGACTTGAACGACGATCTTTCGGTAAAGAAAAGAGACGAAAGTGAAGACTATCGATCCGTTTTTCAGAAATCCTTCCCCTCCATTCGCTACAGAGCCAAACTATTTAACTGCGCAGTCATATTATTTCATGTATAATTATAGCCAATTACTCTATAATATATATTTATTCAGTCAAATTACCTTTTTTTACTCAGTCTTCTTTGGCTTTGCGGTATAAATCTTTTTGGAAGGAACTTATAGAATTAAAAAGCACGCAAAGACAACTTTCTGTACTTTATGCAAAGATTGAAGGGGCAAATGCTTCGGTTTATTTTTATTATTATTATTAATAGTGTTAGTATCAGTATTAGTATTATTATATACTCTTAACTTTATTATTTGTTCAAAAAAACTGCTTAACTATTTAGAATAAAAAGCCAAATAAATATATTCTGAAAACTTTTTCTTTGCTAAGTGAAGACCTTCGCGAACTTTCGCGTGACATTATGTGGTCGGAAGTTATAATGTTTTCGGAGGTTTACTTTATTATTATTATAATTAACAGTAATAGTAGTAATAATAAAATACTTTTGATAAATTTATTTTATGCTCAATTTATACTGTTTCCAGGAAAATGTTTATATTTTGCACAACTTCGTCCTATCACTTTTGGAGATTTTATCAGAATTTTCTGAGTCGCGGGTTTATTATTATTATTTTTTTTATATATGAAGTTTTGGATTTTCTTATAATATATATTTTATTTATTATTAATATTAAAATTATTATTTTACTTATTGATATTTATATAAATACTATTCATTTTTTAAATTACTTATAATTTATAATACTTTTCTTATATTAACAAGAAGTTTTTCTATTTTTTTTTAATTATATTTATATTTATTGTATTATATTAAAATCGTTTATTTATTTTATGCTATTTTATATAAATAAGTTTTCGTGTCTTTACTAATAATGCATTATTATAATACTTTTGTTATTATTATTGTTATTACTATTATATATTTTTTTATTATATCAGGAGTTTGCCTTTATACCGGAATACTACGTTGATGCTTTACTTAATTCTGTATTGGCTTTAAAGAAAAATTACGAGTCTAGTAGTAAAAGTAAATAATTTACCTATATTTTTGTTAATAAACCTTATAAAATGTTTTAACTTCTTTTCTTGTGATAAAAAAATACAGTATTTATTAGCTTTTTATTTATTTATTGGCCAATTATTCACATTTAAAAATCTGCGGTTACCAATTATATTTGTTATTATTATTTTTGCTAATCGTTTTTAGCTAATCATGTTTAATATTTAATTATATATTTTTAGCTTATTTGCCCATTGCGGAACACGTGCTTTCATTTCTTGTTCATCACTTTGGAGATGCTCGTATATGCAATCCTGGTAATAATAGTAATAATAAAAAATAGTTACCAAAATTATAATAAATATATAACATGTAAGTTTCGTTTTGATTGACAGTTTTTATAATAACATATTACCACCAGTCCATTTTGTACGCATCCCTTTTATATAGATACTGAATAGAGCATTTTGATTTCACTTTTTAACTATTTGCTGTCACAATTATTATTATGATCATGATTGTGGTCGTATTATGATTATTATTATCATTATTAAATGTACTTGATTATTTTTCTTCATCTTTCTATAATCATCGTTATTATTAATTTTTTACAATTTTTAAGTTTATTATTATTTTTAAGACGTTAAAGAATTTATACTGCAAACTTTATGCAAACTTTTAAAGTCGGAAGTATACTTGTGTACGCTGGAGAACACCAGTTCATTAAAAATGGTGGTGTTATTTTTTTATCAGTTAATTTTTTTATTACGTATTTGCATTATTTTTTAAAATATAAATATGAGCGTATATTAATTTTTTCTTATTATTACTATTTAAAATAAATATGAGTATTATAAATTTTTTTTCTTAATAGCTAGCAACACTTATCAATAAATTTTAATTATTTACGTAGAAAAAGGAACTTTTTACTTTTTTATCATTATTATTGTTCAGGAAAATTTTATTATAAAATTATTAATATTATAAAAAAATTGGAACTTTTTTTTATTATATGGTAAAACTTATAAGAAAAGTAATTATTATTATATGTAAAGAATTAAAAGTTCGGCTAACTTTTTTTTATTATTGTTATATAGTAATACTTTTAAATAAAATATCAGTTTTATTATTTAGTGATTTTTTCATATAAAATTTAATAATTATTTATACAAAAAAACGAATAGAACTTTTACTTTTTCTTATTTTTATTATTTAGTAAAACTTAAATAAATTATTAATGATCATATAATAATATAAAATGATTTAGAACTTTTACTTTTTGTTATTGTTTATTAAATTTTAAAATAAACTTTTAGTTATTAACATTTTTTATATGAATTAAAAAATTTTTCTATTTTTACTTTTTAGTAAAACTTTTTAATAAATGTTTATTTTTATATAAAACGAATATAAATTTTACTAATTTTACTAACTTTTCTATTATCCTAATTATTGATATTTAGTATAACTTTAAAAGAAATTATTTTTAGTATTATAAAAATAAACTGAACTTTTACTAACTTTTTCTTATTATTATGTAATAAAACTTTTATATAACATTTTAATAATAATACTTAAATGAAATAAATATAAACTTTTATTACTTTCATTTTCTTATATATTTTTATTTAGTAAAACTTTTTAAAATTTATGTAATTATTTTAATTTTTATTATCTTTTATTTAATATTATTATTTAGTAAAACTTACAAATAAGTTTTAATTATTATATTAAAGGAATACAAACATTTTCTTTTTTATTTGATAAAATTTTTAAATTTTGTAATAATTATTAATTTTTTCAAAAATGAATATAAAATTTTACTAACTTTTTCATTTTTCTTTATTATAATTAACAAAATATTTTTTTTGTGTAAATAAGTTATTATATAATAAACAATAAAGTTTTAGTAAAGTTTGCTTTATTTCATTTAAAAATTCTAAACTAACATAAACTTTTTTATAAAGTATTTAATATATATATATATATATAAAGTTATTATTTGTAACGAATCTATATTTTCATAAAATTTTCTTCACTTAATATATATATTTGATTATTACTCTTTATATACTTTTATTGTTTACTTATTATTATTGATATTAAAAATACTTAGAAAGCTAAACTTAATTTATATTTGTTACAATTTTTTTTATCCTAATATTTTTTGCTTATTATTAAAAATATTATTATATAATAGTAATATATTACTAAATTTATAATTATAAATGTGTAAAAAGTTTATTTCATTTATTATACTTACCCCTATTAATATTATTTATAAACCTTTTTAGAAGAAAATGTAATATATATATACAGTTATTATCAATAATTATATAATAATTCATATATTTATATGCTTCACTAAAAATATTTTTATTGTAAATACTATTCTATATACTTTTATAATATGTTATCAATAGTAAAAAAATATTTATAATAGTATTTTATATTTACTATTATTTATACTGCTTATTAACTCCTTTATTTATTTATTGCGCTTTTATTATTATTATTATTATTATTAAAAATTACCTCTTTCGCTTATTTTATATTGAAGTTTAATATATTCTATATTTACCTTTATTCCTTTTTTAAAAAAGTTTATTATGAATATATATTATAATATGTTAGTACTTTTATATTAAATATTTTTTAATGCTCTCTTTTCTCTAGTGCGTATTATTCTTTTAACTTATTACTTGATAAATATGTATAGTTATAGTATTAATTTTTTTTCATAATATGTATATACTATTTTAAATAAAAAAATATTTATTTTTTTAATATTTTTTATAATATAATAAAAGTTAATAATTAAAGTTGTAATAATAAAAACGCACAAAAAAAATTATTATGTAATACAAATTTATTCTAAAAATTACAGTAAATAATATAAGTACGTAATAAAAATAATAAAACCAAAAATAAATTTCTTTTTCTATAAAAATAAATATATTTATATTTAAAAATGATAATTTATAAAAATTTATTTAAAAAAATATATATTATTATTGTTTTATACAACATTATATTTTTTTTAAAAAAAAAACTTTTAATTATCAAACTTGATATAAAAATATATATAATTTATTGTTTTTATATAATATATTTATTTTTATAAAAAAGTTATTATTTTTATTAAACATTATAAAAATATATATAATTTATCATTTTTAAATTAAAAAACATTTTATTATCAAAACTTATAAAAATATATATTATATATAAATATATTTTTTTCTTTCAAAGATTCTTATGAAAAAGTTTCTATTAGCCTTCAAGTCACGCTTTTGGGTTACTGTTTCACTCGCACTTTCCTCTTTATTAAACGTGAAAACTTTTTTTATTTCGTGTCATTTATTGTTTTTAATTTTATGTACTTTTTATATTTTTTTCTTTAAATATATTTATTTATAATTTTATTTTTTTTTTATTATGACTTACTATTATATCCTCTATACTCTAATACTTTTTTCTCAAATATCTTAGTATATATATATATATATATTTACCTTTTTTTAAAATATTTACTTTTTATTTTCTCTCAACTTTTATATTTTTACATTTTTTTTTATAATGTATATATTTTCTTCTTTACATTTTTTATATTTTTTTATTATTTAATTTTTTATTTTTTATATTCTTTTACACTTTTCTTTATTTTATATTACTTTTTTTGTTCAGTTCTATCTTATTATTTATTTTTTTATATTTATTATATATTTTTACTAATTATTTTTTTTCTTATTTAGTATTTATTATATATTTTATATTTTTATTTACTAAATTTTTAATCTTTTATACTTTCTTTATTATTTATGTTTATTTTTTTATTCGTTTATCATTGTATTCTTTATATTTTTTTAGGGCTCTTCCCCCAGAAGTAGTGATATTTATAATAACGAGTTACTGGCACGGCCAAGTATAGTTATGCAGGTTTATTATTATTTTATTATTAATATTATAAATCATTACAATTATTTTATTTATAATTTTAATAATAATATTTCTTTATTATTATATTTCTTCTTTTTCTTCTTCTTTTATTATTATTATTATATATATGTTATCATTAACTGTTGTTGATATTTTATTATTATTATTACTCTGTTGTGGTTGTGGTTGTGGTTATTCTTATGTTAATTATGTTTTATTATTATGTTATTACTAATGATTTTCTTCATCTTATTATTTTTGTTCATTATTAGTTTATTATTAGTTATTATATCATAAAATTTACTTTTATTATTATTTCATTATTAATAATTATTGTAACATTATTGTTGTTTTTATGGTTAAAATTATATAATTAGCATTATTACTTTAATTATTATTTTATTATTATTATTACAGAAATGCTTTCAAAGTCTTGCTATTAACGAACCAGAAACGCTCAATATGTTTATTAACAACTTATTTAATCTTTCTTGTTGGGTTATTACCGAATTATTTGTTACTCTTCAAAAAGTATAGCAGTTTTTATTATTTTTTATGATTATTATTCCACTTCATTATATTTAATGAGCTTTCCGCTACTGTATCTGAATCGTTGGAAATGGCGGACAATCTCGCTTTAATAAATACTCTCACTCAAGAATCTAATATGTTTACAGAAATAACTGTGAATTTGTTGCAAGTATACATACTATTGTTATTATTGTTATAATTGTTATTACCATATTTAATATAGGACTAACATTATTTAGCACATTAATTTGATTTATGATTACATAAATGCAATAAATTAGAAAAAAAGTAAAAATTTTTTTAGCAAAAAATTTATTAGTTATTAATAATAATTAATTAATAATTATAAATAATAAAAAGTTTATAAAAAATAATGTAAAGTAAAAAAATACTCTTTAATATTAACAGTAATATATAAGTTATTAATAGTAACCAAGTAAGAATTATAATTAAAGAAAAATAAAAAGTAAAGAAAATACATTAAACTATTTTGAAAATAATGAAATTATGTAATTTTTTGTATCATAAATAATGAAAATATGCAATAAAAGCTTTATATTATTATTATAATGAGGACGTAATACTAATGAATTTATATAAAAATACCAATTAAACAAAACTACATTTACAAAAGTTTGTTAATATAAAGTTGTATTTTTTTAGTGCAAGTGTGGCAAATTAAACTAATTGGGGATATTTTATTATTAAAATTGGAGCCTTCTGTACGGTCTTTTTTATTTGTGACTTATTATAAATGAACTGGTTATTCGACTTCATAACCTGCCAGATAATGTTTTGTTTGGTAGCGTTATATAGACTTATTTTACATATATCGAAAGTATGTAGAATTTATTTATTTTCTTTACCATTGAAGCACTTGGAAACCGTCACCCGTTTGGCTGTCCAATACTTTTCTTTGGACGAGGTTACTGGACAAATAAACACCACGCGGTTGTCGCAGCTTGTCTTCCACGTGGTTCAGCGGACCCTTGGCCACCAAACTACGGAAGGTATATTAAAATTTTTTAATCTTCCTACGGACGGGATATTCCTTATTTGGCATCCAATAGGCTTTGATGATCTACTTATTTTGCGACCGGTTGTGAGTTTACTTGCCAATATGAATGCTGGTTATACACAATCGGCGTCAATTTACTTATACTGCCCTTTTCACTTATTGCTATGCTTACCTTTTACATTTCTTTTTTTATTAGTATATCCTTTTACTAATAAAAATAGTCATAATATTTGTTAATAAATTCATTAACTATTATCATTATAAAAATTTTTAACAGAATTTGGGCACGTGTTTTTAAAGCAACTTGTGTCCGATCCCGGCTTCCACATGGACAACATTGAAAAGGTTTTTGAAAAACTAAAACTTCAGCATGACCGTATGAATTATTATTATTATTATTATTATTATTATTATTATTATTATTATTATTATTATTATTATTATTATTATTATTATTATTATTATTATTATTATTATTATTATTATTATTATTATTATTATTATTATTATTATTATTATTATTATTATTATTATTATTATTATTATTATTATTATTATTATTATTATTATTATTATTATTATTATTATTATTATTATTATTATTATTATTATTATTATTATTATTATTATTATTAAGTATCGTTTCACGGCTCTGATTATGATCGCTTTTCATTACTTTTGGATAATATTCGAGAAGTTTATATGCTCAAAAAGGTGTTTTCTTTTGCCACTTTATTCATATTTTTTATTGGATAATTATTTATATAACATTTTTTATTAATATCAGTTTATTTTACATTTTATTTTTTTTTGTATTATGATAAGAATATGAGCAGTGAGGAAGCTGAGCAAATGGGAGAAGTTTGTTCCATTTGTTGTACCAATACTATTGATCGAAAGTTTGAGCCATGGTAGGCTGCATGCTGCTTTGCTCGTGCTATAACTTTTTACTATTTTATTTATATAGTTAATTTTATTTTTAACATAAAGTGTCTCCTTACCCTTTCATTGGTTTAAAGAGCAACCAATAATTTCACATATTTTTATCGCATGTGATACTAACTTTTTCTTTTATATATAACTGTACTGTAATCTGGAAATATTATTATTATATTGTGTTTATATAAATATTTACTTACAATTTATATTATTTGTAAATTTAAATATTTCCTTATATAAAAGTGTTTATAAGAACATTCTTTACTTTTTGCTTATATTTTTTCATTGGTTTATAAAGCCACCAATGCTCAATGGAATACTTTTTTAACTTTTTTTGAATTTATAGCGGACACATGTCTTGCGCCCAATGCATATTAAGGCATCTGCTGAACGAAAGATCCTGCTTTTTTTGCAAAAAGGATGTTTTAAAAGTTATAGATGTTTCCAAAATTTAATTTAAGAATAAAACTTTTTATTTTTTTTCTTAACTTGCTTAATAATTATTTAAATTATCATATAGATATATAAATTTCTTAATTAATATCTCTTTAAAGATTAGAACTGCATACAAAATCGTGTAAATTGTCTTAAAAGTAAAAGTTTTTGCTTTAAAGGCTGCGCATAAAAGAGTTTCTACACAAGTTCAGTTTTCATATAAAGTTTGTTAGCACAATTAATAGTCTAAGTTTACTTTACCATTAATAAAGCTCCATCCGAATATTTTTAAATTTAGATTTACAAAATTTCAAATCATGTTAATAACAATTAATCGGTGGTCATCCAAATAAAAGAAACCACATCGAACACTCAACTGAGTTACTTTAAAAATTGCCAGAAAAATATGACTGTTCAATAAAGTTATTACCAGCACAACAAATTTTATAAGAATTTTTATAAGCGTGTGTTTTGGTGGTAAACAAGGATTTATTATACAAAGTTTATATCATTTATTAGAAAGACTAATTTACATGCAAGCCTGCCATCAAAGAAAAAAAAACAATTTTTTTTTTTTAACATTGCTTTAAATCTTATTAGATCTCAATAAAAAGTTAGAGGAAAAGCACCTCTTAAACAATTTATTTGGGTTGAATTATAATAATATAGATACTAGTAAGACGAATTATTTGCATTCCACTAAAAGCAGAGCATCGCTTTAGAACTTAAATATCTCGATTTTTAAAAAAATTAGCGAAATTTAAAATTCGTAATTTTTTGCAAAATTAATTTAAGCCAATGATTAGACCCACAATACTTTCTAAAACTGCCGTTATAAAATTTTGTATAAAACGGAGAATAATAGGAAGAACAATTAATTTATTGCTTCGTAGAGAAGGGGTGGGGCAGGCATACAATGTGCATTGGCACAGACGAGTGGTAAGGGCACGTGACTTATCAGAGTTAACGCCCTCTTTAATCAATTATTTGGTAGTTTTTCCCTACAATAAAGCACAAGATCACAAACTTTCGGGTTTTAACATAAATTCGGAAAAATCCATTGGCTGAAAAATTCAAAAGGCTTAGATCAGGTACCTCGAACTTATCCCAAAAAAATATATATATATATATAGACCCTCAGTTTAAACAGTTTAACTAAGCTTTCTGTTCAGATCATATGAAACTTTAACACGGTAATAGCGAAATTTTTATAGAGATTAAAGCATAAATTTTTCCTCTCGAAGGGTGTTTTTTTTTAACTGAGTTAACCTGCAATTTTAGTCCACTCGTCAATTACTTTTCATCCTCGGTTTCTTAAAAACGTAACTTCTGTAGTAATAACTTTGACCCTCCTGGCTCTCTCTGGTAAGAGCTATTCCCTATAGCCTATTACTTATTTCGAATAACTCCATAAAAATCCAGGAATAACAGCTATTTGTAAATATAAAAATAATTAATTTTAAAAATTTATTTTTTTTCGATGCCTTCTAATATCGAAGCTGGCAAATCTATGATTCTGACAGATGTTATATTTACAACAGTCTCAGGTGGTTTCCAGATCTCTAACTTAGAGTTTAAAAAATATAAAAAGGAAAAAAAAAAAATTAAAGTACAGGAAAGTCTTCTAAGTGCAGTTTGAAGTGAAAATTGCTACTAATAAATTATTTTAATTGTCGTTCCATCTATTCTTTGCAATGTTTATTTAATTCCCTATTTTTAGCTTTTTTGTATATTCCGTTTTGCCACTTTTATAGTTTTTCTTTAGTAAGCTTCTGTTTCTTCTACATTGTATAATTAATGTTTTTACTTTTTTGCTTTTTTGCTTTTTTAAAATTCTTAATTGAAACTTCATTTTATATATTAATGCTTATTATAAATATGCTTCGATAATTGCCTGTAAAGTAGTTTCTTTTAAATATATAAAATTTCTAAAAGTTAATAGTAAAAATATATATTTTTTTTATTTACAAAAATAATATTCTTATAAACAGATTATCTGATTGAAAAGTTTAAAAGTAAACCTTTATTACTTAAAATGTACAGAAATATCTCGATAACATAATTTTGTTCTGTCCTTAATTTATTTATTTACCAGCTGTTTTTTGATTAAATATGCAACTCTTTGAAAAGTTTATTTTAAATGTTAATTTAAACAATTTATTTGATAAACCGTAAAGAATATACAATAAAAAAAATTTATTATAAATTTGAATTGCAATGACTATTAAAGTGCATTAATATTATAACTTTTAAGAATTTTATGAACTTTGAGTCGTTTTTAACTTTACTTAACTAACGCAACGTCTTTACTTGAAAAAAAGCTACAGTAATATATTAAGTTTTGTAATGATTTTTTTAAAACTTCTTTATATAACGTGATTGTTATAAAAAAATGAAATAATCAAAAAAATTTAATATTACAAAAGTAAACGACAATTATAAAATCTCGACTGAAGTGTATTTCTGTCGGAAATATTTTAAAAAAAAGGACAAAATTTACTACTGGAAATATACAATAATAATTTAAAATAAATTTTATTAATGAATTTATGAATAATAGTGATTACTGAACTAATTCTACGCTATAGAAATCATATTTCGAAAAAAAATTATATACTAATTTATATTAAACAGTAGAGTTATAAATACTTAATAAATAAATTTATAAATATAGTAATTAAATGAAACAAATTATTATTTCTTATTAAGTCAATATTTTTATATATAAAATTTTTTATTCGGGTGTAATTCACTACAATTATAATGAAAGGAAGGTAAATCACAGACGTAGATTCACTTTATTAAGTTTTAGTATATATTAAATTTTTATTTATCAACGTCCATAAAAGTTTCTCTTTTTAGTCTATCGAGTCTCGCCGTTATTTCATCTTTGCCGCTTGTCTGAATTTTTTTTTAAAAAAAATTAATTTAATAATTAAAATTGTCTTATTAGAAATAAGTAAAGTAATGAACTAATTTGTATAATTCAATAGTCTATAAATTTATAATGAAATAATTCACTTAAAAAAATTTATTAAATTAAAAATGCCTTTCTAAATTTCTTGATAAACTAAATAATGCTATTTAAAAAACATTAGTAAAACTGTAATATAATAAAATTCCTGAGTAAAAGATTTTTAAAAATATATATATATATATATTGTTTTAAAACAAGCATCCTAATTTTTTCAAATTGGAAAAATGCTAATTTATTTAAAGAAATTATGAAGTTGTAACGAAAAATAGTTTCTATTATTTTTATTTAATAAATTAATAAAACTATTGAATTGATACAAAAAAGTTTACCTATTAATGGGTATATTAAAAAAATATAGTAAAAAAATAAATTATAAATGCAATGAAACAAAAGTTATTGATAAAATCTTTTTTAATGAAAAAAATAAAATTAAAATTTTCAGAAGTAAAAATTCTTGTAAAATTAGAGCGAAATTAAAATTATTAATAAAATTATTTTTTTAAATTGGAAAAAAACACAAAAAATTTATAAAATTATAGATATACGTTATTAATAAAAACCTTAAAGGAAAGAAAAAAGCAATCTAAATTTACTATTAAATAAAAAAATTAAATATTGCTGTGAAATAAAAGTTTATGAAAGTATTTTAGTAAAAAAAGATAATCATTCTAAATTTCTTTATTACATCAAAATGTAGTGACATAAAAGTTACGAATAAAAATCTTATAGTAAAAAAAATAATTATTCTAAAATTTTTAGTACATAAATAAATATTAAATTAGTAAAATAAAAGTTACTACTAAAAGCAGCTTTCACAATGAGAAATAATCATAGCAAATTTTTTATAAAATAAACTATTAAGAATGTAGTTAAAATAAAATTCATTAACAAAAGCTTTTGTAATAAAAAAAATAAATTTTAATTTCTTATTAAAAATAATTTGTGAAATCATAGTGGAAAACAAAAGTTTATTTAATGAAAAGACTTAAGCATTCTAAATTTAGAATAAATAAAAGAAAACATAAAACTGTAATGAGATGAAAGTTATAGAGTTATCTAATCACAGTCGCAAAAAAAATAGTACCTCATTTAAAAAAGCTTTTCCCTGCAGTGGAAGTGCTGAAAAAGTTAAAAATTTAAAATGAATAAAGTTATATTAGTGAACTGGTACATGAATAAAAGATTTATGTTTTTGTGATTTATTGGATATATTTAAAAGAATAGTTTATAATTTAGTATATTTAGCATAAAAAGTTAATATTAAATTCTTATAAAAGAGCAAAAGGAACTAGTTATATTAAATTTATAAAATTATTTTATAATAAAATAATAAAATCAATTATTAAATTTTTTTTATTATCAAAGTTTTTATAAAAATATATATTTTTATAAAATTATTATTTATTCATTTCGTATTACTAGTTTTATATTTTTATCCAATATTTATATATTAATATTTTATATATATTTTTTCTTGTTATAATATTTATAAAGTATTTATTCATATTTTATTTTTTATTATAAAAAAAAAAAAGTAAAAAATACTCAAAAAGTATTCAATAATGGCAAAATAAAATTTCCGTTATAAAAAATTAATGTTTTACAATAATAAATTTATATTTATTATAAAAAATAAATAACTAATAAAAAATTAAATATATAATATTCATTACAAGAAGTTAATAAACTGTTTTGCTCGTGCTGCATATAATCAAGATTGCGACGAATGTATGTCTATATATATTTATAAACGTATTATTTATGAAAAGTAAATATGCAGTAAAAACAATAATATCAAAGAAAATTCAGTAATATAAATCTTTTATAATATATAAAAATGATAATAACAATGAATTTAATGAACGAGAAGTAAAAAAGTTTAGCACATACTTAAAGTGTACTTAATATCAACTAAAGCAAAAAAAAACAAAAAGTATAACGAAACACTCGAGCAATATATAGACACTATTAGAAAAAATTTATTCAAAAAAAAGAAAAAAGTGAAAAGGCAGTAAAAAATATTATAAAATAATCACTAAAGAAATTAGTCTTAAACTATAAAATTACACTAAAAATGTAGAAAAAATGCAATAAAATATTAATATTAAATTTTCATTAAAAAATTAGAAAAACGTAAATTAAATATACTTAACAGTAAAGATGTAAACTTATATTTATTTAAAAGTATAAATACATGAACAAGTAAAATATAATAAACTTTTTATACATAAAATAAAAAAAAATATTTCATAACAAACATTATATAAAAATAGTTGCAATATAAAAAAGTAAAAAAATAAATAATTACTTTATAAAAGTTAGGAAACTTATTAATAAGCTTTGGTAGTACTTTTAAACTTTCAGGAAACTCTCGTTGGATTCGAAAAAGTTCTTTTACAAGCTAAACAATAAAAATCATAAATATATATAGCAAAAAAATATATATAAACTAAAGTTTAAAAGTAATTATTATAGTAATTTATATAATAATTAAAAAAATAATGAAAAACTGTTTGAACTGAAGGAATATATTAAATAAATCAATATCACTAAACAAATTTATAAAAAAAAGTACAGCGAATGAAAAATAATATATTGAAAAGCCAATAAACATATAAATAAAATTATAAAGAATGATATAAAAACCTCCTGAAGCTCGCATTCCTCGAATGCCGGCTGCCTAATTTTTGTTTCTAAACGCTCAAAAATATTTCTGACCAATGCGAGTGTAGATGGCGCAATTTCAGATTCATTACAATCACTGACTTCTTGTTCAGGGCACTTAAAAAAATTGTTAATATTTTTATAGATCCAAAAAAATTATAAGGAAGTTATACTTTTGTGAAAGCAGAAGAAAATTGATATTGCGGATTTTTAATTCGAATAAATTTTAAAGCATATTCGTATAGCATTTCTCCTTTTTTAACATTTAGTTCCTTTAAGGTGTTTTCTATATATTCTAATAATAATAATAATAGTAATAATAATAATAGTAATAATAATAATAATAATAATAATAATAATAATAATAATAATAATAATAATAATAATAATAATAATAATGAAACCTGCAGGAAAATATCGCACTGGTAAAGAAACAATAGTCTTTGCAGTGCGGCAAGGCTGATCTTCTTCTTTATTTCTAAGGTAAACAAATATTAAAATATTAAAAAAAAAATGAAATATACTATTTTCAAAAAATAATATGAGAAAACTGCATATGAAGTTTATTTTTTATAAATAAAAAAACAAGCCCTAAAAAAACTCTTAAGTTATATAATTATTTATAACGGTTTAGGAGAATATAAAAAATAGTACCTCCAAAATATTTCTTGCCAACATTTTGCTGGATGCGCCCTAAAAAATTGGTTAAGCGAGGCGTATATCACTTTCCAGTCCAATGACATCACCAGCTCTAATGATAACAGAAATATAATGAAATAAAATAATAAAGGCAATATAACGAACCTGGTTTATCCTTCATTGGCTTGCATAACTTCCACATGCCCTTCAAGACAAAATGAACAAAATTCACATCTGAAAATCTAGCTGATTCGGTGAGAAGGTCCAATAATGTGCTAGAAAATATAAAAACACATGGAATTAGAATTGTACTAAGAAAAGTTAAGTAAAAAATTAAATAGAAAGAAAAATAAAAAATTTGGTGATAATTAAAAATATATATTTGTTATAAAATTCAGAATGTTTTAGTACAAAATATATTGTGAATAATAACATTATTTACTATAGAAAAAGGGAAATAATAATGAAGAGTATCCATTAAAAAGGGACCAAAAAAAATTAGAAAAACTTCACAATTTTGAATGAAGTAAAAAAAAATTAAAAAAATACAGTATAAATAATGAAGCACAGTTAAATAATTTTTTAGTGAATTAGAAAATGAAAAAATATATTTAATATATAAACTTAAAAAATAAAATTATTTTAAACAAAAGTAAGAAATATATAAGTTTAAAATAGTGTCGCACAAAAAATGTTACGAAACGTTTATTAATCATAATAAATTCATAAAAATTAAAAAAGAAAATTTAATAAAATACTTAAAAAAATGAAATGAAAATATTTAAATTAAATATTTTTATATTACTATTTACAAATTTCAAGTTTTTCACTTTTACTTATTCCTATTCGATATTTGCTAATATAATTTTTATTATTAATTACAAAAGTTTAATATAGTTTTTAACTTTATATTTATTACTTTTCGTTATTTTTATAAAAGGTTAAAAAAAAAATTACCACAACATAATAGTTTTATCGGAAAGTTTTAATATGTGTGAGGCCAGATCATTAACAGCTCTAGTAACAAGAGGCCCAAAGTGCTATAAAAGAGGGGAAAACTTGAGAAAATTTTCTTTAAAAAAGATGATAATAACAAATAAGTAAACAGTTATAAGTAATATATAGAAGAAAGGTATAATAATAATATTTAGAAGAATATAGAAACAAAAAAATTAAAAAGATAATTTACTATATTAATAATAAATTTTAAGTAGAAGAACAAAAATAATAATAAATCAAGATGATTTATAATAATATTAATAACAAATAAATAAAAAAGAAAAAAAGGAAAACAAAATAATAAATTAAATAAACAAGTATCATTGAACCGCATCACAAGTAACGCAGGCAGTTTGATTGGACAAAAAAGACAAAACTTCCCGAATAAGCGGAGATAATTCCTCGCTAGTGATGCTTTTAAAACCGCCGTGGCGCTCTATTAAGACCACGAGTGCACCTAAGAAAGGGGGGGAAATGATAATATTAAAATGGCCCAAAAAATGTATAATATAAATTTTTACTTTTATTATGTGTTGACATATCTAACATATTATTAGTATTAATATTTAAACCCAAACTTTTATATTTAATACATAATTCTTCCATATTTTTATCTATAACATCCATATATTCAAATTTTCATGTTTTATATTTATTTTTGTCGCTTTAAATCAATTATTTAGTAATATATATTAAATTATATAATAAAAAAGTATCGCTCTTTCTTTTTTTCATTTAAATATATAAATCAAATTTTTTTAATACTATTTTATTAATATATATAAAACTATAAAGAAATAATAATATTATACAGTGCTAAATTTTTTAAAGGATTTATTATAAAAGCTTTATATAATAATAAATAATAATAATAAGAATAATAATAATAATAAGACCGTAAACAGCGCGAAAAAGTTGTATTTCGTTCTTAATATCATCAGGATGATTAGATAATGCAGACTAATATGTTTGTTTATGAGGAATAGGGAGTATTATACAATATAATAAAACTTAAATATAATTATAAAATATTAACAAGATCCTTATTAAGTATATAATAAAATTAAAGAAATTATATTCATATAATAAGTGTATTACGAAATATATTTAAACTTATATAAAATTGTATACATAATGATAATAAAAGTATAAAGAAATTTAATAAATACGTACAAATAATAATATCATTAAAGGAATATAATTAATATATATATATAATTACATACTGAATATAACTGTATTAAAGCATTTAAGGAAATGTATATAAAATTGTACACGGGCCATAATAATATTAAGAGATAAAATAAAATATATATAGAATTAGACACAAATAATAAAAAAAGCAGTAAGAATATAATATAATCATAATTATACACAAAAAAAATAATAAAAACGTACATCGCGAATCTTTCTCAAAGAAAACTTCAGTTGTATAGTTAAAGGCATTAGAATATTTGAAAAGGGATAATCCGCCACCTCCTTTATAAAAATTATTTTTTTTTTGTTGTTAATTGGCTATAAATTTATAAATTTCAATTATTATTGTCTATAACATTTTTATGATTTTTTTGGAATTTAAAATATTAGTTCATTGCTTTCAGTGAAAAATACTAACGATAAAATCTTATGTTAGTTCTTAATAATTTTTGTAAATATTTATGCATTACTTCGGTGTAATATTTATTATTTTTATTAATTCCTTTATTATAATACTGGTATTTCTCTTTACCCCCTATTACATATAATATTATTAATAATTATTATTTATAAAATACTAAAAATAAGTACTTAAAGTAATATATATATATATATATAATAACTTCATTAAAAAGTTTTATAATAGTAACACCGCTAATAAAATTCAATATAACTTTAACAAGAAAAAAATTTTCTTAATAATTCTTTTTAAATATTGTAAGCGTTATCAATAAAAATTCTAAAAAGAATAAAATCTTAAAATTTTTCATAAATATTCATATCATTTAATATCTATTTTTTGACTCGTTATTTATTTATACTTTATTAGAAAATAGTCAAAATATTTACTTTTCATTATTATTATTCTTACATTTATATTTATATTTGAATTTAATTTTTTTATTTATTATTATAAAAACTAAAATAAAAAATTTAGAAGTTTTCATAAATAATAATGATATATCTTTTAATATTGATTTTTTGTCTCGTTATTTACTTATTATTACATTGTTAGTACTTTGATAGTAAAAAAATAATCGAAATAATAACTTTTCATTATTTTTATTTATAATTATATCAACATTATAATAAATTTTTTAACTATTATTATTTAAAAAACTTTTATTCTTGTTACATAATAGCATTATAAATATTGCCTATTATTAGTTATCAATTGTGTATTATTAAAGAAATTTTTTAATAAATATTTACCTATTATACATTTTTTTATAATTATCGGATTAAAAATAATATGGATATTTATTAAAAAAATATTAATTTTCTTTTCATATTACTTTATTAGTAGAAAGTAGTCGACGTTGAAGGTCTTCCAAGGAAGAAATCGTCGAAGTAATATCTTCCACATTTAAAATATCAATCAACAACAAATCAAGAGATTTGCTTTCTACTTAAAATAAACAGTATTGGCTCTTTATCAAATTTATAGCTCTTTTAGTGATCACCTGAACCAATCACCGCAGTGGTGTCGGGATTATTGGGTTCATTAGTTGAGAGAGTCGTGTTGCTTCTACGTATAAGTGATAATAATGAGAATAATAATAATGAATATTTATTTAAATATTATTTATTTTTTACTATTAAATTATTGTTTAACTATATTTCCTCTAAAAATACTTTTAAATTTATATTCATAAATAATTATAATAAATAAATATTAATATAATAACAATATAATACTACTTTTGGTTCACACTAAAATTCTTCTCTAAAGCGGTTTCAGCTTCTAAATATAACAAAAAATAAAATTAACAAATTAAAGCAAAAGTAACAAAAAAATTAAATTTACTTTTTTAGTATACGAAATACTTTTATTTATACATTTTGTTTCTTTTATTTCTTATAACTTTCTTAAAAAAGGTCGGCTACTTTGTTTTTTTAATGAAACATTTTGTGATTTGCAAAAATGAAATAAATATAAATATAATAAATAATACCAAAAAAGTTAAAGATAACTTATTTAGAAAAAAGTAATAAAAAACTTTATTTATAATATAAATGAAAATATAATTGATAACTTTCAACAAATATAACAAAAAAGTGTTAAAATAAATTGTTAATAAAAAAAATGTTTATATAATAATATATATTTACTTAAAACAGAAAAGTTACATAATAACAAACTATAAAAAATTATAAAATCTAAGTTAATTGCTGTTAACAAAAACATATTTTTTAATGAAATAACTATTATTATTTTTTATAACACTTTTATTTATTTAAACAGTCACGCATAAATCTGGCTAATTAGCGAAAGAGCGAAAAAGCTCAACGACGTCTAGTTCTAATAACCATTAGCCCATCCAGTCAAAATTTTTATTATAAAATACAAGTATAAGAAATATGTATACAGTAAGCCAAAAAGTAAAATGTTTTTAATATACATGAATAGAAATAATAAATTTTCATTATTTATAAATAAGAAAAAGTTATATAATATATATATTTACTATATGCGGAAACTGAACAAAAAAGTTAAAAACTTATTATTGCTATATTAAAAATATTTATACAAATTATTTAAAACACATTCGACAATTTTGAAACGAAGAAAATATTTATTAAATATATTTATGAGCAGAAATAAAATACTAAAGCATGAAAGTTAACACATCTTATTGTCCTATAAAAAAAAATTATAATGTATTTATAACACTTCAACAATAGTACAAAGAAAGTATAAAAATATACACTTTCATAATAAAAATTATATACATTTATATATACATAAAAGCACTAAAGCGTAACGCTACATATAAAAAGTTTTTAAGAACATAATAAAAAACTTGAATATTAAAAATAAAAAAATAAAGCTTAACGCTACATAAAAAATATTTTGTAATGAAAACTTTTTACAGATATTTATATAAAAATAAATACCTAAAAGTATAACAATACATAATAAAACATTTTTTCTTATAAACAAAAACTATATATATATATATATTGATTTATAAATGAAAGAACCAAAGCAAAACGTTACATAAAATTATAAGTGTAATCTAAAATAAAAATAATAAAACATAAAAGTAGAAACTTTTTATCGCTCTATGATGTAATATTTTATAACAATTTTTAAAGGGCTCATAATAATAATAATAATATATATTACCGCCTAAGCCAAGCTCTATGCAAAGAATTTTATGATAAGAATAAGATAAACCCTTCAACTTTTCAAGCATTTTCGGTCCAACTTTGCTATAACACTAAACAGTTATAAAATTATAATAATGAAAAATATAATTATAACCAATAATTAAATAAATTAAAAATATTATTATAGTAACAAATTTTATTATCATAATAAACATATAATAATAATAACTTAAAAAAGTAAAAATATAAGGTTTACGAAGATTAAAAAAAGTAATAATAATAAACAGTATAATTTTTATTATAAATATATTAATAAATAATAATCATAAATAAATAAACTTTTTTAAAAAAAGAAAAAACGGAACGCTTCACACTTTTATCTTCAGAGTCAAATGCAAAAAGAAGAAGTTCCAAAAAGTTTTTAGGAAGAATAGTAATTCCGTACTTCTCAAGAACGCCCTCCATTTCCTATAAAAATAAATATAAATAGTAAATAATAATAATAAAAAGAAATATTATCATTATTTATTTCTGTAAATAATATAAATATAAATAAAATTTTATAATAGCCGTAATATAAATTTTTTATGATTAGTATAAAAACTTTTTAATAACTTTTGTATTCCATATATTTATTTTTTTAAAAGTATATAAAAAGTTCATCATATTAATAAAAAAAAATTTATATTTGATATAAAACTTTATAAACTATATACTTTCATTAATATTAACATAAAAGTCATAATAATAGTATTAATATATTCATATATGTTGTGGCTAAAAAAAATGCCGGCTTCTCATTAATGATGCAGTAATATAATATTAGGACATAAAGTATACTGACACAATAGCGCTATTTACCAGTGTATGTATATATATAAGGCGGCCTCCCCCCGATATTGTGTCCATAAAGTATACTTTAGTAAATAGCACTATTGTAACAACGTTTCGTTATATGTTATTATACAACCATTGCACTATATATTAGAAGCAAGAACTTATTAATTTAGCCAAAATACCTCAGCCAAAGAGTATCTACGTCTAATATATAGATACAATTTTCGTAAAGTAATACCAGAGCACTAACTAATACAATACAAATAATGTATCACTGACGAGATAAAGCACCAATAGTGCAACTTAAGATTGCTCGCTGAGGTAGCCTTTTAACTCGTGACGCTTGAGTCAAATACTGGAGTGCACACCCATAGCTATCATCCGGAACTATTCGCCTCTGTTAAGGTGCAGTATAAAATCTCGCTTAACCCACCCAGATGCTTCTCATTAAAAAGTGAAACAATGGAAGCTCAGCACAGGCCCAGCCGGATCAACGAGGGATGATAGATATTTATATGATTCAAAGATCAAAGGACGGACACAATCCGGCTAGTATATCAACAACAGATGCAAGAGATGACACAGAACAAATCCTAGAATCTTTTATTGTCAAACCGTAGGAAACCTGGAAGTATAACACAATTTGTCGAGATCACATGTAAGCTAGAACCTGCCTAAGATGAAATAACTATAGCACTAGTATTAAAATAGTCGTTAAATTATGAATATATTTATATAAAGTTAATTTAAATAGTATTATTATATTTAAGTTTGTTATAAAAATTATAAATATATTAATATTTAAAATTTATATGAATCTCATAATAATAATAATATCAACTGAATATTTATTATAAGAATTAATAAATATCTGTTTTGATATAGTCATTAATTTCATAACTATAATATTGATATTCTAATACTTATTATAAAATTATGGATATTTATATTATGATATTTAATAAATTTTCTTATAATAATTTAATATTTATAGTGATAAATATTTAAATAGAATTTTCTTTAAAGTTCTATATTAATGCCATAATAATAAAAGTATTATTTTTTATAGATATTCGTTACAAAAATATATATATATTCATATTTATAAAAATTTAATGTAAATAAAAGAACTAACTTTTTGATAGTGCTATAGTTAATAATTATGATAATATAAAAATAAGAAGAAATAAATAAATAACATTATACCTCAAAGCAAAGTTTTCGTATAAGCATTTTCTCCGACTTTGCAGCTTCCAGAAGAAGAAGAAAAACTTTATTAGAGGGATAACAACTACACAACGTGCGTAGCAAAAGTTTAGCTTTTTCGCAGGTAGAAACGTCTTCAAACTTTAAAATATATATAAAAGTTAATAATTATAATGATCAGAGAAAGTTTTAAGATAATATATGAATGATAATAATAGAAATACATTATTAATAAAAATAGTAATAAATATTGGAAACGGATAAATAATAATGAAGAGAAAAATATTTAAACAAAGATTTTCAAATAATTATAATATTAAAGAAAAAATTTATATTTTAAAAAGTAAAATAATTAATAAAAAAAGGTTCATAAATAATAATTATAATATGATATAAAAAAGTTTTCAGAAAATATAATCGCTTAAGAGATTTATTTATATAAACTATAAAGAAATTTATTTTTCAAATAATAAAATAAAAAAGTTTTAAGAAAATATAATCGCTTAAGAAATTTATTTATGTAAACTATAAAGAAATTTATTTTTTAAATAATAAAATAAAAAAAGTTTTAGTATAAGGTTTATCGATAATAATAATAAAGTATTAAAAATAATATTAATAATAATAAGAAAACTTTTTCAAAAAGCGCTCCAATAAACAAAGAAATCTGTTGATCGCTGAGCCGCCCGCCAAAATAAGAAGTCCAGTTCAAAAGGCTTTCTAAAAGTTCAAGTGCCTTAATATATTCACAATTATAATAGTAATAACAGTAATCTTTTTATTGGAGAGAAACTTTATTATAATTATTATTACTATATTTTAAATAAATACCTTTAATATTTTTCAGTATACATACTTTCTATAATAATTTCTCTTAAATTTTATTATATAACAATGATAGTAGCAGTAATTATGACCCTTTTATTGTATAAAAACTGTACTATTATTATGATTTGTTAAAGAAAAACCTTTTTACGAATTTATCATCTGATACTATGCTTATATAAAGATCTTTTGAATTTTATTATATAATGATAATAGCAATAATTACTCTTTTACTGTATTTAAACTTCTATTAATATTACATTACAGATAAAAACCCCGTTAGAATTTTCATGTTCTATACTTTTTATGAAAAGATTTCTTTCAATTTTATTATCAATAGCATCATTATACTTTTATATATAACTTGTTAATACTTAATAATAAGAATAAATACGCAATTAATATACATTTATTATTTTAATAAATTTAATAAAAATTTTCTTAATAACTTTATTTGAATAATTTTAACATAAAATTTTTTATAAAAAAATTTCATAATGGAATTATTAATATAATATTTTTAAAACAATAATAATATTTGTTTGAACAAAAATTATCATGATTGAATTTCAAAGAAAACTTTAATAAATTATTATTATTCAACTGTTTATTTTTTATTTATTTTATAAAAATTGGTTAAAACTTTTATTATTTATATATTAATAAAAAAAATTAATATTTTCAACTTATTTTTATAATTTTTATTAATATAATTACTATTATTTTATATTATATATATTATAAAACTTTTTTACTTTTAAATGAAGCGGCGACGAGGGAAGTGTTAAAAGCCAATTTGCATAATATAATAAAAGAGGTAAACATTTGACAAGAGCCTATAAAGAAAAATTTTAAAGAATAAAAAAATAATAATTATGAATAGTTTATTACTTAAAAAGATATTATATCACTTTTTTTGTTACTATTGTAAAATTATTCTATTAGACATCACTAAATAAAAAAATATCTTTGTATAAAAGTAAAAATTCTGTATAAAACTTTTTAATAAATAAACAACTTTATTATTCTGTTCAGAAGAACATGCTTCACATAAAGTTTGCAGCCCTTCTAACTTTTCTCTATTGGCTTCACTAAAAAGTTGGTAAAAAAGTGCCTTAAAAGTAGAAAGAATATAAGTGGAGAGTCTTAGTAATAAAAATAATATATTACACGTTGCACGCATTGCAACATCAATTTTTTCAACAAATTAACATCAACTGAATGGTGATGGGATACAATAATGTCGAATGAGATGCTGCTATCGTCTGGATCAAACACAAAAACCCTCATATCAGAGTTAGAATTTTCAAAAGCGGGTTGTTTCATTGGCTTAGACTCTACTAATGGCCAAGCATGCGGAATCTGCTCTTCATTAGTTAGAGAATGGTATTGGCAAGTGATCGTTTCGGGCTCTTCTGACGATGCCGTTGTATTTTCGGGGGCTGACGGACGCGTGGAATAAGAGAGTTTTGATTCGTTGGGAGAAGACTAGCAAAAAAATTAAGGAAAAAAGTTAATATCTAAACTTTTTTTAACTGCTATCAATATTAGTATTTATATATATTAAGAGTTTTAACAGAAACTTCAGAGCCAGATTTTGCTTTTTCCAAAAGAGAAAGTGCATATGTTATAGAAAACTTGCTGATTGGCGCTGTCTCAACTTTACTTTTTATACTGTTTTGTAAAGTGTTATGCAGGTAAACTTCAACTACACTAAATATGAAGGAAAAAAAACCTTTCATAATTCAAATACTTCATAAAAATAGAAAGCAACGTGCCCGCCTTTTTGCGTACGTCGGCGTTACGGTCCTTGCAGGGTAGTACAGAATTAAAGGTAAAAAGAATACGTAGGTATTTATAAAAAAGGTAAAGTATATGATACGCAAAAAATGTACTCTTATTGAATCAATCAACCATTCATATAAAGGAACCTCAAAACAGTGAATAACAGGGGCCAATAGCTGAGAAGCGGTCTCAGTCAGAGCTTTACTTGAAGGCTTTTCTGAAAAATAAGAAGAAAGCCAGCAAAGTAGTTCCGCACGAAGAAGAGGTTGAGGTTGTAAAAGTGCTTTTGAAAAGTCTTCATTCCCTTCGTTTTTTTTAAATATTAATAATATAAATGAATATTAAAAATAATAATCAACAATAATTAAATAAATATTATAATTAACAATAATATTAAAGTATGTCAAGTATTATATAATAAAAGATACGCAGTAAATATTAAAAAGTACATATAAAATATAAATAATATATAAAATAACACAAATCGTTCACTAATATACTCAACAGCAAGAAAAAATATAAAGTAATAAGGTATAAGAGATAAAGCGTACTAATGATATATATATAAATTATTATAATGTACGTTAAAAATAATGAATGGATATTAAACAATAGTTAGTGGCAGTGATAGTGATAATTAAACTTATACCCAACAAATTTTCTAAAGCTATTTCATTGGATATTGCGGTTAATACTTTTAGCGCCGCTTCTCGAACGTTTGTTTTGTTATCGCTGAGACAATTCTCATAAAATAATGAAAAGTAAGTTTTTCATAAAAAATAGAAAAAGTTTAAAAAAAAAACACCACAACAATATTTAAATTTAAAAAGTTGCAAAATGAAGTTCCATTCATACCAAAACAGCAGGTATGTATTTTTTGGTATATTTTGTAAAAGCAGAGCCCAATGAGTGCACTTGGTTAAAAGAGCATAATTATAAAGAGATTCAATCCCCAAAAATTTGGTCATACCCATATCACCAAGCACGTGGAGAGCCAAAGCAACTTGGTTCTTATTTGTATCAAATAGTCGTGGATACTGGCATGTTAAAAAAATTGTGTAATTACTAACAAGCAGCAAATAATAATATCAAGTGTTCTGGTAGTAAATACCTTTATCGGTACAAAAAACAGTGAATAGAACCCAAATTACTTACCAAAGTTTCTGGTAGTTCTCCTATGTTCGCTTCCACGCAAAAGTTGGCCTTTGCGAAAACTTTTTGAAGCTAAAAAAAATATTTGTTATTATAAAATTAATATAAAAAACCTTTTCTTACTATTAATTTATTATTTTTTATAACATCAAAAAATATTTTATATTTTTTGTCTTTTTAATATTTATAAAAAGTATATTAATAAAGATATTTTATATGTTCTAATAGAAATTGAAATAATATGAGTAATGAAATTTAAGAAACCTTGAGCATTCCTTCGTTCCGCGTGCGCCAATTACTATCTTTTAAATCTTTTACTATTATAAAAATAAATAATATAAAAAATATATAAATAATAGTACAAGAGCAATATCACTACACAAAAAAACTTGAAAAATCATAATAACAGTAATGATAATGATAATATACAAATATGTTCTTTTGCTAGGAAGCCTCGAATATCCGTTCTTGCCGCTTCCACAGTAGATATTGTCTCACTAATGGTGGAAATGAAACAATAAATTGGTGAAAAAGCAAAAAAATATTATAGATTGGCTACTGTGTACGTCATTAAAGTCGCAACAAAAAAATACTTTAATGTAAAATAATAAGAAAAGTGCAAGACTATATAAAAACTGCAAATTTTTTAATGATTTTAAGATATGTAAACGCTTATTAAAAAATATTTATAAATATATAATACTGTTATAAAAAAGTTTTTAACTAATAAATTGTTATTACTTTAATATAATAAAAATTATTTATTACTTTCATTAATATTATTATCATAACTATTATTATATCAATTAAAAAACACTTTTCCATGTAAAATATAGTTTTTGTTATAGATTTACTCTACTAAAAACTTTTATAAAAGAGATATAAACTAGTAAATTACTATAATAAAAGTTTTTCATTACTTTTTTAAAGATTACCATCATAACTTTTATTTTATTAATAAAAAAATAATACTGTTCCATATAAAGTAAAATTTATGATTATTATTATTGTTGATCATAGATTTTTTAAAACACATGCTTTTATTAATACTTCAATATAACAATTGCTATTACTTTTAATATAACTTATAACTAAAAGTATAGATATTGATCTGTATATAATCATTATATATACAAACCAATACCTGCCAATGTAAATATACTTATTTTTATAATACATATACTTATTTATTTATTTAATATTAAAATAATTATAAAAATTTGTATTGGTTTGAAAATTTTTTACAGTTTGCGTAAAAGTTTCTTATTACGATCATATGAAGTTAAAAAGTTTTAAAAAAATTGTTTTCTATTTACTTTATGTATATTTACGAATAATAAATTTAATTATTATAATATTTTATAGTAATTATATATTTTTATTAAAGTCTTCTTTAAAGAAATATACTTTTCATATATTTGCTAATAAAATATTGGATTCACTATTATTATATTTTATTTTTGTAATAGTTTCAGCTAACAGTTTTCTTTAAATATACAAAAAAGGTTATTATTAAATGAATACAAGAAGAGTTGTTTTTATTTATTATATTATATATTATTTATAAAATTCACGTAATGAAATTATAATTATAATATTATTCCCAGTAATATTTACTGGCTTTATTGGTTTAAATGTTTCCCTAATAAATATCTAAGTTTATTATTGCTTTTATATAAAGTAAAAGAAAAGAAAGAAAAAGTTTTATATTTATTATATTTAGAATTCATAAATAATATATATTTTCTATTTAAAATTTTTCTGGCTTTATTAATGTTAAAGTATACTTTCATAAATATTCATTTATTATTATTTTTACATGACGTAAAACAATTAAAAGAAATAAAGGTTTTATACTTATATTAAGTCATTTGCTATTATGTATAAATTTTACTATAATATACTATATTAAAAGTTCCCCTGTACGTATATATAAGTTTATTATTACTTTCATATTAAGCAAAACAGATAGAAAAGAAGTTGTTTTATATTATTATATATATCAGTAAAATTTACTCTAAATATATTTTAAATTCATTATAATTTTTTAAAACTTTATATTCCCTTATTTCTGTGATATTATTATATATAAAACAATAATAATATATATATAAGTTTTAATAAGTAAATATATTTCTTTTATATATATTTTTCACTCTCATAAAAAATAAAATATTAAGTAAACTTTATTTAATGTATGTTTTCTTTATAAATATGTATATCACTAAATATCATTTATATAAACATTGATATGAATTTTAATTATTATTCTTCTAATAATAAAGTTTATAACTTTTATACATAATAAATATTACCAAAGAGTATTTCTTTCATATTTATTATTTCTTTTCATTATTAATGTAAAAAAATTATAGATGAGTTATTAATATCTTTAACAATTTTATTATTATTATTTTGTTAAAAGTAAATTCTTATAAAAAGTTGTCATAATAAATACTTTTCTGCAGGAAGAAAGTTTTCGTTTTCTATTTTTCTAGTGGGCTTGGGGGGGAGCATACCGGAAACCTTTAAAAAAAATAATGATAGATAAGTAGATGAGCTTTTATTACAAAGTTTAATGACTTTTTTATTAAGTTTAAGGAAAATTTTTAATAACATAAAGTTTTATTATTAATTATTATTATTATTATCACTATTATAAATATTATTATTATAGTATCACTACTAATTTGTTTTAAAAGTAAAAACTTCCAACAATAATTTTTCTTACGCAGAATACAGAAATGATATCTTCATAAATATTTAAAAAAGTTTAAAGAAAATATTTATTATTTTCTTTGAAAATTGAGACAATTTCCATAAAATTTACTGATTAATATATTATTTTAAATTTTATTAAAACGATCCTTACTACTAATAATAAATATATACTCGCATAATTTTCTTTACTTTAAATATTTGAAACGGTAAATCTTCCACATAATAATAAATAAATAAAAGTTTAGTTAATAAAGTAAAAAATAATAAAATATTTTAAAAAGGATAACCTTGGAAAATTCTGATTGCAACGTTAACAAAAGAGGAGACTTAACTTCCTGGAATTTTACTTCTATATGCGCTCCAGCTAACAAACGCAATATCGTGCAAAACTTTACAGCTTCCTTGCGAACAATAGGATTGCTATGGCATAAGCAGCTCTAATAATAATAGTAGTGGTTAAAAATTAAAGATAAAAAAGTTTTTAGTAGCTTAATCAGTGAATTATTATATATAATAATATTAATAATAATAATAATGATTATAATAAAACTTAATTATTATAAATAGTTTTTGGTATATCGATATATTAATTTTTATATATAATAATATCAATAACAATAATAATAAAAGTTAATAAGTAATATGTCTGTATAGTTTTTAGTATCTTTTATTTTTTATATTAGCGTCAAGTACTGTGAAGGAAGCTTCGAAAGAGACCCTCAAGGGAGTGGCAAAGGTCTGTTGATAAACCCATAGAATAACCGGAAAAGCACTGCAACGTTATACCACAATCCTAATACACCAATCACTAAAGCACTTAGGAAGTAACCGTACTTTTTACCGCCTCAGTAACGTTATCGTTCGAAAAAGTACCGGATTATTCGTAGTATTATACCATTTTATAACTAATAATTATAATGAAAATTAAAAAAAAATAAAAAAAAGTTTTGGGTACTTTTGTTTTCTTTATTATAGCTATAATAAAAGTGGTTAATAAATAAATTTATATTAATAAAAAAGTAATAACAGTTTTCTTTAAAAAAAAGTTATGATAAAATTTTTTTATGAAACATATAATTTTATAAACAATGAAAATACTAAATTATTAGTTAATAATAAAAATTATAAAAAGGTTTTTTTGTTTTGTAAACTACGTCAGTAAAAGTAGTTAATAAATTTTTATAAATAAAAAGTTTTCCTTAAAAAAAGTTAAAATAAGATAATAAAATTTTTTCTGTAATCACTACTACAAGAAAAGTTTTTAAAAATAATCTTTTAATGCTTTAATATACAAATAACGATAATACTAATAAAAGTTTTTCTTAAAAAAAGTTTATAAATAACGTATAGAAGTTTTAAGGCATTCTTTTGTTTTATTTATTACGACTAAAAAAGTGTTTTATTAACAAAAATAGAAATTATAATAATAATAAGAATAAATAGTTTTCCTTCAAAAAAGATAAAAAATATACAAGTTTTTAGTTTCTTTTGTTTTTTTTAATTCTACTATAAAAAATTGTTCAATCAATAAAAAATAGAAATAATAACAATAATATTAAAGATTTCAGAATTTTTTATAAAATTTAAGCTGAACAATAAAAAATATGATGATCATGAAACACGTAAAAAGCAGTAAAAAGAAGTATAATTAAATTTAAAAATATAGCAAATATTATTTATATTCCAGTATTTCTTAAGCTCAATGGCTGTAAATATAATAATAAACAAAACCAGGCAGAAAACGCACGCCTTTTTCGTGAATTCATTTTAAAATGGATATAAAATAAAGGCGTACATGCAGTGCATTGGCCAATAAAATTAGATCATTAAATTATTTGTAAAGTATAAAAAAGGCAAAGACAATCCAATCAGATTAAGTCTGGCCGTCATGTATAGCATATATTTTCCAGCTCTATTCTACGAAGCACACGAGGAAGTCATTAACTTGCAATATCTACTTCTCAAATTTGAGTGGCTAATTCAAATTTAAGTAGGCTTATTGGCTGCCTCTTGTAGAGATAATAATACCAGAAATACAATAAATTCTGAAATAATAAAAGAGCCCATTATTTTTAGTGCCTTTTGCGTCCATAAATATGCAATAATAATTTGCTGGGATTGTTAATAGTATTTAAATTTTTATGAAAAATTTCACACATTTTTGTTGGATATAAATTTAACAATTTCTAGATAAATAAAAAGAAGAATTTTTTAATATAAAAAAAGGCGGGCGACCCAAAAGAGTTTTATTGACTGGAAGTAATTCGATTCAGCTGTTTACCCCAAAAAATTGAAAGCATGTGTGCGAAGGATGAAATAACGAAATCACCCAATAAAAAAGCACTAATAAGCCGGTTGAAAATACAACTTCCAATTAGTCGTAAAAAAAATCTCTTTAAGCCATATGATTGGCCACGCCGCGCTAGTAAAAAGAGTGAGTAGCGACGGTAATGAGGATCATATAAAAAGTTTATAACAATAGAAAAAAATCTTCATGCTTTTGCTATAAAAAGTTTTTTCCCCGTAATGTAAAATAATAAATAACAAACTTCACTAACTTTAATCAGAATACTACTAAAAAAAGGCTCTTTTCCAGTAAACAAAGTGAACAGCGATAACTGGTTTTAATTTTTTAAAGAACTACAAGTAAACACTAAATAGTATTATATAATACTATAAAAGATTTACTGCTAAAATAAAACTTTTTTTTATAAGTATAATAATAATGAGCTATTCTTTAAAAAAAGGATCAAAAAACTTGTAGGTAGCATGATTGGTTCTTCAAAGCATATTTCTCTGGTAGGAAATTTCATAGTTTTCACAATATTATAACTTTTCTATTATTTACTTTTTGTATAATATTTATATGTTTTAATATTTATAAATTTATATAAAAAAGTTAAATAAATATGATTAACAAAAATAATCTCATAAATAAATATAGAAATAGTAAAAAATAGAATTATTGTGGATAATACATATTTTAAAATAAATAAAAATATATATTAAAAAAACTACAGAAAACTATATCTGGTCAGCTTGATTATAAAATATTGAATAACTGAAATAACAATCAATTTTTTTAATGAAATATTAATATATTGCAATATATATGTTACATATATATATAAAGAAAAGATCGGTACAAATAAATTTTCAAAAAAAAAATACGTAAAATAATAAATAAATATTATAAAAAAATAATAAAAAATACAATAAACTCTTATAAAAGTAATATTAATATAGTATTAGTATAATTATTTATAAGAATACTATTACTAGAATTTATATATTATTATCACTTTACCTTCGCAAAGGATATGCTTTTATCCAAATTTAAAAGCAGTCCGAACTCTTGAATAGTTTCACTCAACCATATTAAACTTTCATAAAAATTATATATATAAATATAAATATATAATAGCAATTACTAAAATAATTGAAGGAGAGTAAAAAATATTATTATAAAAAGTAAAAGAAGCAACAGGAAGAAAAAATAATAAATTTTTAATCTTTATAATGATTGAAATATTAGAAGTTTCGTAAAACTATCCATTATAATGAAACTGTACTAGATTATACACAAGAGTATAGTATAATAAAGTTCTTAGAAATTAGTGGTTGTCACAATTATATTACTATTAGTGCACGGAAAAACAGTGAATATTATTTATTTTATATATATAAATATTTATGCTTTTATTTTATTATTAAACTTTAGTATTTATTTAAAAGTATTATATACCATAAAAACTTTGATTATTATTATTATTTGCTATTAAAGTTTCTTAAAACATCATTATAATAATATAATAATTAATATATACTCTTTTATTTTTTTATTCATTAAAAAAATATAAACCAGTTAGATAAAACTTTGGGATTCTTATGGGCCAGCGCGCTGCCATAAATTTTTTCAAACACGTGGCTTAATGAGGTGCGCTCGCACAGCAGCTTTAGAATTTCTCCTGCGGCTTTTCCATTCTGTTTTGGGTTTTAAATTTTTATAATTATTGTCTTTGTTGTTGTTGGGTAAAAGAAGCAAAAAAAGAATGAAAAGAATATTATTACCTACAATATATATATAATGAAAAATAAGTAATAAATATATATGTAATAGATAATAATATATGGATGATTTCTTTCAAAATTTTATAATCCTTTTGAAAAAGTATAAAAATAATGATTACACATTTATATAACTTTTTTCTTTATAGCTTACTATCAAAAACTTTTTTTATACCGCTCAACTATTAGTTCAATTATATAAGCAAAAAATATTGCGAGCATTTCATAAATGATATTAATAGCTAAAAAAAAATTACATAAAAGTTCGAGAAAAAACTTTTATAATACAATTCACCTTCATATCGGGAAGCTTATCTAGCACAGCCTCGCAAATTACCGAGACTGATTGGATAGTCACCTTGCCCGTTTTAAAAAGTTGCAATAAACACTGTAAAAGAGTACCGGCAACCTAAAAAGCAACAATATAACATATTGAGTAGCAGTTTTTATTATAAATAATAGAAAACCTGAAAGTTTGTATCTTTTATATAATGAATAATATAATGAGCAAAAGCTTGAAGAGGTAATCGACCTGAAAAAAATAAAAAAATAAAAAATAATGAATAATTAAAATTAGTGTATAATTAATAATATTCATAATGTTTTTTACTAAATAAATAAATAATGACAATAATAATAATATACAGTAAAAAATAAGAATAATGATAATTATATCCAAGAAAAACTTAGTAGTAATAACAAATAAGAAATAGTAAATAATAATATTTTCCTATTATATAAATTTAATAATGATAATGTACTTAAAAAATATATTTTATAATAATAATATACCGATAAATAATTGATATATAAAAAAATGAATAATGGCGTAACCAAAAAAGGTTAAATAAGTTTAAAAAATGGTATATTTCGTTTCTATTTATATCAATACATCCAAAATATTAGTCATTGTAAATACTTTTATTATTAACTAAGTAATTTATTATAGTTATTTCATAATTTTCTGTGCATATCTCCATCATATTAATATTTGCTATTTTTTGTTTAAATTATAAATATTTAAATATCTTATTTCCATCTCAAGAATTTTTTTCAATTTTATTAAAAAATATAAATAAATATAAAAGAATTAAACATATTTGAAATGATAAATAAAAAAAATTACTAATAAAAAATAAAATAGAAAAGTCAAATAAAGTAAAATAATATCAAAAACAAAAGAATGCAGCAAAAGAAATAAGGAATAATAAAAACAACATATTGAAGTCTAATAATAATATTGTAATAAAAAAAAAATAATTATAATAATAAATATAAAGAGCCATAGAAAATAATGAACGGGTCTTAGCAAAGAGGCTCTTCTTACTTTGCACGGAATTCTCTAAAAACTTTAGCAACTCTTTCGAGGCTTCGTAGCGTTCCTTCCAAAGTTTGCTGTTCAGTCCAGTTTTGATAGAAGCGGGAATAGTAGAGTCCACTATTATAAAAGTTATAATTATGCTGAAATAAAAAATAAACATAATAATTATTATTGGCCAACATATTCTCATCGCCTCTTCAGCCTGCAATAGCTGTTCTTCGGGAAGTTTTGGTTTCTTATGTAACAGAATAAAATGGTTTGTAACAATAATAATATAATGAATAACCTTATCATAATCAATAGAGTTTGACGAGCAGCTTTCCTTAGTAACGCTTTGTTTTCCTTCGTTAACTTTTTTGTTGGATACAGGACGTTTCAAACTGTCCGTCTTAATAGAAATTTTGCTTGCAAGTTTGGGGGCCAAGCCGCTTAATGCAGGCTTTTTAGCCAAGTGCTTTTCTTTAGCCGGTAACTTGGTTGCCGGCTCCTCTATAAATGCACGGGACTTTTTCAAAATATATTCATTAAAAAAAAGTACAAAATTGTTACTGATAAGTTTTTGGGGAACATTCCTCATAACATTTTCGTTTTTCATTCCTTTAACAACTTTTTAAACAATTTTATTATAGTAAAAAATTTATATCATTAAAAAACTCTCACTGCCTTCATATCAACCTGCTTTATCGCTGAACTCTTTCACTTTAGCAGTTTTAATAGTGTCCAACTCTTTAAGATACTTTGAAAGAGCTGCCTCCCCAAAAAGTTTAATAAGAGTTCCTATGAAATATTCATTATTATTACTATATATTATCAGTAGTAGTGGTAGTAATTTTAATGAAAGACAAATATATATACGAGATCAAAAATACAATGACAATATTATTATAGTAAAACTCTTCTAGCAAAGTTTCATGAATTTTCCTATTGGTCAAAAAATTGAAAATAAAGTATTTTTTTTAATATAATATGAATTTATGAAGCAATCAGTGATGTCTATAAAGTGCCCAACCGATTTACATTGCATCATCACATTCGTTACAATTATATTGGAGCACAATATAAACCAATCACAGTATATGTTAAAAAAAGAGTCAACAGTAACTCTAATTTACACATTCATTATTATATTTGATGTAAAACGAATTTAACCAATAATAAGGCTTTTAGTTTTTTTTATGGGGAAAACAATTAAGTTTTCACACTAAATAATTATACCAAAAGTTTGCATGGCACTTCCCCGAACTTCCGGAGTGCTGTCATTCAAAAGCTATAAGTGAAAAATATTTTTATTCATTATCATTATCATTACTCTTATCATTATGATAGTAGTATTTTTTACTTCTCCATGAAATATATAATTATATTTTAAGAAAATTCATAAATTAAACTGATTATTTCATATTTTAAGTTTCATTAGAGAAACGGAACACCATTTATTGGTTCCATTATTTCACTTAATATAAATATTTTAAAAACTTCTTCAAAAACCGAAAAGATTACTTTTACTACAACAACAAACAAATTTATACATAATATTCGTAAACAAATATATTTATTAAAAGTTTTATATAATATTCTTATCAAGATACTTTTTGCAATCACTAAAATATTAGAAAAATGCTTAACAGTCAAGTGTAATCGACTATTGGTTATTATTTTAACTTACTTGCTGTAAACACAAACAAAGTTTATCCCGAAAAGTAGGCGGAATGGGCTTATCAACAGAACAAAATATTCTATTAATAATAAATAAATAAATTATAAAAATCAACAACTTTCTTTATATAATAATAGATAAGTAACGGTACGTCTTCGTAAAAAAATTATAACTTTTTTTATATAACAATAATGATAATGAATTTCAATGTTAATAATAAATATATGAGAATAATAATTACAAATTTTGATATATATAAAAAAATAATAACCACAACGCTTTTTATATTATAATGATGAATAAATAAATTATAATTCTTTTATATAATAATAAATAATAAAAAATAAAGATTACAAATTTTTATATATAACAATAATAATATAATAACTTTTTTATACAAAAAGAATAAAATATTTTAAATTCTTTTATAAATAATAAAAAAATAAAAAATACAGATTTCATTAGATAACTAATGATAATCACAACTTTTCTATATAATGATAATAATAACGAATAAACAATTAAATAATGAGTATTAGAACTTTCTTTTACTTAGTTATAATATTGAAAGTACCTCGTAAGAAAATCACAACTTTCCTTCCTCACATTAGGATTTCTATGGCTCAGCCCACCTTCTATGCAAAGCTCAAGCACTTCGCTAATCTCCGCCTTTTTTTTGTATATAAAAAAAATATTAATAATAAAATTTAACTTTATATAAAAGCTAAAATATTATAAAAAAAATTGAAATATTATAGAAAATTTTGAATTAAGTTTAGCATTACTGTGAAGTAAAAAAAAAGTTTTCATACCACTTCATAAATAGCATCCAAGGCGCAACGTAAAGGCTCTAAAACGTTTTTCTTTTTTTCTTTGCATTTATCAAAAATGCAAGGAAGTAACTAACAAAAATAATAATTAAAAGAAATAATGTTAATATAAATAATAATAGTAATGCAGCTGAACATGTTCTTTCCCAAAAGTTGTTTAGCCCAAAATATAGCAAATTATAGAATTTTTACAGCTAATAATTCACAATTCGCAAGTATTTACACTCTCTTATGCACTTTCTGAATGACTGTCTTGAAAATAGCGCATTTATATTACTTTTTTTTTTAAGAATTTTATTATTATCCTGTTCACCATATAATGAAATAATAACAAAGTAAAAGTTTAATAATATTACTTATATATAAAATATAAATAATAAGTAAAAATAAAAAAAGCCTAGATATGAAATACTAACGAGTAAGCCATAGGAAGAAAAGGCAGTTCCCAGACCTTTAGCAAGAGCAGCAACGCAGTTTAACGCAGAAATAGAAACATTCACATTCACATCAACGAGGCACTTTACAGAATAATAATAGCAATAAAAAAATAAGAAATAATAAAACAATAAAAAAAAATCTTCACTATTCATAAAAATAACTCTAAAAATACTTCTTTTAATGAAGTGACCAATGGAGTGAAGTCGCCCTGCTTTAGCCTTTTATTGGTTACTTTTTTAGTCAATTCCTCCAATGCGTCGCGTTTTAGTGACCATTTTTTTTCTTTCTTTTATCGTTATGATTGCATGAAGATAAAGAGGGAAAAGTTATATACAAATCAGAAAGCTCAACAAAACTTCAAAATAAATAAAATAATAAAAAATAATATTAAGTAATACTTTTTATAAAAGTATAGATTATCAGACTATATTTTATTTAGTATAAAACTTTAATAATTTTTTTAAGAAAAATAATAAAAAGATATACTTTAAAAAAAAGTAAAATATTAAAGAAAATATTATATTTAATATAAAAAGGTATAATAAAAAAGTGATAAACATAAACAATATACTATGTTTGTGAAATAGTCATTCAAGTTTTGAAGGATATCAATTTCCTCCAAAACTGCTGCCCTTGCTTATATATTAATGTGTAAAAAAAAATAATTAATGTTTAAATATAAAAAATAAAAAATAAATATAATAACTTTAGGAACAAGTTATAAAAGTTTCTTTTTTTAAATATTATTTATTAATACAAATTATCGAATACAAAAAACTAAAAGAGCTTTCAAAAAATTTCCAAAAATATTATTATAAATAGATAAATTCTAAAAGATAAAGTAACAAAAGTTATTTTACTTTGGCAATACTTCAAAGACAAATATTAAAGGTAAATTATTATATAGAAATGTTAAAAAAACTAAAGGGGTTTTTACTAAATATTTATATAATTTTTTATGTATTAATATATTTAGTATAATCCCTCTGTTTATTATTACGTCTATATTGATATTTTCTTTTTCGTATATATTATATTGCAAACGTATATTTTATAACGTCGTAAAGAAAAAAATAAATTGATAACTTTGCAAACATGTTATAAAAGTTTTTTATAATATAATATATACGAACAGTATTTTTTTTTTATTTTGAACAAAAATAACAAGTATTATTTGTAAGCACTTAAAAGTATATTACCACTAAAATTTATTAATAAGAAAAATAACAATAATAACAACTTAAAAAAAATATTCATAATTTTTTTATCATATAAAAAATATTGAAATTATTATTTATATTTTTCTTAACCTGCATAACCCGTATAAAAAGTTGTTATATATATAATTTCACAAATATATAAAAGTATATTTAGAAAATATATAAAACATAAGAAAGCCTTCCTCTATAAAGTCTCGTATATATCTTATTGTACAGTATATGCAATAAAAATAATCCTAAAACTTACTCGTGCCTTCATCGGAGCTTTCACTGGTGTTATTGAAATCATTAACTTCGTTTTCTTTAAAAGTAGGGTTCGATTCTTGTTGTGTTCTTGATAAATAATAAAAGTATTAAAAGTAATAATAATAATAATAATAATAATAATAATAATAATAATAATAATAATAATAATAATAATAATAATAATAATAATAATAATAATAATAATAATAATAATAATAAAACCTTGTTAACCGCAAGGGCGTTGGAGTTATGGTTATATTTTCAAAGGCAACATTGAGCTCCTTTGCCTTTTATTAGATTATTATTACTATTATTATTATTAATTATTATTATTATTACTTATTACTATTTTTATTATTACTACTATTATTAGTTTAACTTCACGAGTATAAACATGAAAAATAACACACCTGAACTGGTTTTATGTTACTTATATAGCGACGAACATCGTCCTTTATCCACTTGTAAAGCTCGACAGTCAGGCTAAACGCTATATTTATTATAAACAATAGTAGTTACAAATATAAATTCACCAAAAACATAAAACTTAAAATAATATTTTTAATAACAATAAAGTCCTTTTAAAAAAGTTAAAAAATATATAATATACAAGAAGTATAAAATTACGTTCAAAAGATAATATAACTATCACACACAGAGAGGCACGTGTTTGGAAATTAGTCCACGCGTTTATAAAAATACAGAATACCGGACCTTCCGCCCTGACGACTTTATCGTTGTGGCCAAAAAGTGATTCTAATTTTTCAAGCGCGGGTCGTACATTAACAACTTTAATGCCAAATTGTCTATAGATATTGAATTAGATTTTAAAAATGGAAGTGCAATATTTTCATTAAAAAAAGAAAAAATCAAAAGAAATACTGTTCCGCTTAGTAAAGTTGATATAAAATAATAGTGAAAAGGAATAAGGAAAAATTTTTATATTTAATAAAACCATTACAAAGTTAACTTATCAAAATATTAACTTATTTAAAAGAGATTTACACTATAAAATAGTTTAAACTCATTAACCAATTTTTTATTATATTTAATAATATTTTATATATTTAAAAGTTTAATAAACATATATAAAATTGTATCTTCATAATCTAATACACATTAGATAACAATATTTAAAAAAAAATTCCTAAGCTAATTAATTCCATAACCAAAAGTCTATAAAACATAAAAATAATTAAACGTACTCAACGCAAAGGCGGATAACCAAAACACACGCCGCAACGATTTTTGGTTGCTTAGAGGTAAATCCCTCCAGCAATTCTTCCTGATGCAGAGAAATTTGTTAAACTCAAAAAATGAAAAAAGTAGTAACTGCCGTAATATTTTTAAAAATAGCAGAAATAGTTTGGAGCTATTTATGATAAATTTTTTGTTAATTTTTAACAAAAAATTTAATATAAAATTGTTTATCATAAATTTATAAATATAAAGCGTTTTTAATAAAATTTTACTTATTAACCATAAAAATAAAGATTCGAAATTTTAAATTACTTTAAAGTCAATTATAATAATTTAAGTATGCTACTTGTTGAAGTCCACTTTATAAAAATATATTCTATTACAAAAAGCAAAAAAGAGACCATGCAAGATGCAGATTGTTCAATTTCTACAAAAAGTAAAAATAATTCTTGTGATAAGTCACGTGTCCTTTTTTTAGAACTTGTTAAGCACTTGATCACCACATTCTTTAAAACAGCGTTTGAAATCCTAAAGATTTATAATTTTCAATAATATCTTATAAAATTTAATATTAGTCGACCTCGTGGCACAAGCTGCTTTCTTAACAAATTCAAGGACACACTCTAAAGCTTTTTCTTGAACGCTCATATTCGTCTCTACAGCGAAGTCGGCCACAGAATCCACATATTCCATCCACTCCTTACTATTCGGATCTTCAACGCTAAAAGTAAAAAAATACTCTTTTTTAGTAGTAGTATTATTAATCACTGGCTCCAACCTTTTAAAGGATTCCAAAAGTTCTCCATAAGCGCTAACTTTGGCTCTCCAATTCTATATTAAAAATAATAAAATAATTTGATTAAACAATAATAAAAATTATGTTTTATTTCACTTGATGGACGAGCCTTTCTTTTAAAGGAATTATAGTAAAGTCTTCGTTAACAGCAGCCATTTTATAGGCATTAGAGATATTAAAACGAAGTCAACTTAGTCAAGCGAACCCTCTAAGAAGATAAGCACGAGTAAAGAAAATTTGGCGGAAAAAAAAAGATGGTTATATACACCAACACAATGTTTATGCTTGCTCTAACAAAACGATTTTTTCAAAACTGTTTACCTATAACGTGTGCGGGCTCTACAGAGATATTTAAAATGATTAACTTTTTAATAAGTAATAAATTATGATACCACGCGAAACTTGTAGCTTTATTTTTAAACGAACCTGAAGAAGGAAATAACTGTAATATTATACCTAAATGTGGCTACACTGAGTAGTTATTTAGTCTTTAAAGCAAAATTGTGTTAATAATGTTGCTTGTGTTAACTACTTAACCACCAAATCAAGTACAATTCCAGTAGGCAACTCGTATTTATTTAACCACAAGTTTCTGTATAACCTAAGATATTTAACTTTTACGTCCTCATAAATAGTGGTATAAAACTTTTATAACTATTGTGTTGAACATCTTTTGCACTCCTTTAGAGGTATTAAAGTTATTTTAATTTAAGATGTACATTATACATGTAGCCTTTCTTTCCACCATTTAGGGGGTTTTAGCTATTATTGAATTAATTTTAAGGTTTCTTATCCAGTTCCAGTTATGCAACTAAGTTTCCTGTTCTGTTTCTTGATGTTATATATTTCCTCTATCCAGAAAACAACATAGTATGAGCTCGCCTGAGCCCGCCTCCTTACAAACCGATTTAATAAGTCATCCTAAATGGATTATCTATGCTTCTCTTTTCACAATTTCATTACCAATTTTTATTATTATCAAATAACCTTTCCTTAATAAAACTTTCTCTTAAGCTCTTTAGCAACTGAGGTTTCCTTACAACAAAAGCAAAATGGAGGCGTACAGCGCATTGTAACCTCGAGAATTACCGGTTCCCCGTTGTTTTGTCCACAACTAAACTTGATAATTTTTTTTAGCTTGCTCTCTACTATTTGTTTATAAAGTGGACCCCTCCGTTGAAGTTTTTATAACTAAGTTTACTCTATGTTCTACAGACTTGAGATCATTTTGTTAGTAAGTAGTGAATTCTCACTGGGACCTGTAGATATGAATTTATATGTTTAGCAGGTATTTTAAAAAAAATATATAAAATGGAGAAGCCGAGTACTCCGTTAATTTCGCCTGCCTCGCATACTCAGTCGGAGAGTCTTTCAATCCCTGTACTTTCAACTTCTTTGACAAATATTTCTGAATTTCCATCGTCTGTTCAAGAAAATATATTAATAGAGGAATTGCTTTATTGTTTACTGGTAAAGTTTTTATTATATTATAACAAGATTTTGATTTTAGTTTTTTTCACTTACCTAAAAAGGGGATCTACGATGGGCTAAAAATAAATTTTACCCGAAAAAAAACTTCTGAGGGGCTTATACGTCTCCGAATGGAGGACCAAGTCGGTTTGTGGATTATTTTAAAACACTAATTTAATTATAATTTTCTTTTCTCCAGAGCCCGTTTTACGCCAACTTGCCGAAAAAATAGCGCTTAGTGGTATTGTTCATCTTCTCTTTAAGCGTAGCAGTTTTTTTACTTTACTAAAGGCTTGTATTTCAGTCAAATAAGTTCTTTCGTGGAAAAGAGACAAGTTCGGGAAGCTGGTCTCATTAATCATTGCCTTTCTTCTTCTTTAAGAACAATTTTAAAGGTTTTATGCATTCTGCGTGATTTTTCTTTTATTTGGAAAATTTTACTTCTTTTCATTATAAATAAAACTCAATTTAATTTTATAAAGAGAATTGTGTAACAACCATCACAAATTTAGTTATTCCATTAAATCAAGCATTTATATTTATTCAATGTATTAAGCGTTTCGCCTTATTTCGCATTTCTTTTGGATTTAGGAACTAATATATTTTTGGGGTTTATTTTTTTTGGAATTTTCACAACTAATTTTTTATTTATAAATGCTTTTATCATTCTCTATAGGAATACTACTTATTTGTAGCTCAATTAGAAAATCAACACAAACAGGGAAGGCTCACCTTACAACTTCTTTGGTACCTACAAACATTAACTTAATTAACTTTTTCTAAAAACTAATCTTTTTTTAGAAAAATGATTTTTTTTAGGACTTTAATTATAAAATAAAATTACGTTAAAGTTTGTTAGAGTAAAATCTAGTGTTTAGTTTTCTTTTATTAAAAATATTATACATAATATTGAAAAAATATTTTATGATTTTTCTTGATTATAGTTTTTGATATTAATATCGTAAAATTAAAAGTTTATTTATTTATAGATTATTACTTTTTTTGATTTTAATTAATTCTTTAAAGATTCTTAAAGTTTCTAAAGGTATTTATAAGTTTTTTTTTAAATTTTACTAAAAGTTATTACATGAAAAACTTATTATAAAAAGTCATCAAAAACTTATTTATTATTTGTTCATAAAATTTAATTTCTTAATTTAAATCAAATAAAAAAATAGTATGTTCATTTCATCTTTAAACTTTTACCTTCTATATAAATCATTTGGGCTATGAAGTTGATTCTGTCATAAGAATATCAACTTTTTTTATTTATTTAATATTTATATATATTAATTCTTAAATTTGTTTTATTAATAAATTTTAATTGCCATCTTATTAACTTTCTTAAAATTAATTCCTCCCGATGTTGGTTATGTTAATTTCTAATTTTCATATTTTCTAATTTACTTTTCTTTTTTTTGTAGGTTTTACGTTGATAATAATATAAAAACTTTGGAATTGATTTCAAATCTTTTGTCACTAATCGGAAAACAAAAAGGCTTCATTTTTAAAATCCTGAGTTAATCTTTAAATCTTTAATCTTTTTTTGGCAGGCGCTGCTGTCATCACACTGCTTCACTCTAAATTAGATCGTTCTTTGAGGTTTATTATTAGAGCTACTTCTTTATATATTATAATAATTTATAGTTATTAGATTATTAGATTGAAATTTTTTTACTTTCATTATAATTTTATTTCTAATTCTGAATAAAATTTAGTGTAGATGATGATATCATTATATAACCTTATTAATATACTAAATTTAGCTTCAATAGCTTTGAAAAGTTTTCTTTTTATTTTAAAATTTTAAAGCAAAGGTCTCCTTAAAGCAAACAGTTTAGCTAAACATCGCTTTAGAAATATTTTTTAATTTATTTATATACTCTTGTTTTTAATTTTATTCATTAAACTTAATTTAGTTTATTTTGGTAAAAAAAGTTTAACTTTTTTTAATTTAATTTTTTTATAAAATTTATTAATTTATCTGTAAACGATTTAGGCAAGCATAATTTAATGTTTTTATTTTTGGTTATTTAAAGGGGCTATACAACATTTTTATCTTATAATTTATAATTTTGCGTGATAATTTACAAATATGGGAAGCTATATTACATATTAAGTTTTTTCTAAGATTAGATGAAATAAATAATCATCCGACCTTTAATTTTTTTCCAGTATTATATTTAAGTTTTATATAATTTCTCTTTTTATTTTTTAATAACAATTTAAAAAAGTTACTTTTTATTTTGTTCTACTCTTAAAAGCTATTTTTTTATCAGTTTTTTGAGGCGCTCGTAAGGTTTATATAAATAGATGAGCTCTGCTACACAGTTCTGTTTGAAGTGAAATTATTTTCTGTCTGTAAATTTTTTCATCTCTATCATATATTTAATTAAATTTTTTTAAAATTAATTATTATTTTTGCTATTAATTTTTAAAAAAAAAACTTTTTTTTATAAATTTCAAAGCTCTGCTTTACGGTTTTATTGGTGGTGAAAACAATTTCTGTACTTAAATATTTTCTCTTTATTATTATTGACCCTTTTTCAAATTTATATTTTAAACAAAATTTTTGGAATACTAATAATATTAATTTATATTACTATTAGTGTTGGCTCTGATTACGACTTGACACAATACTTAGCGGAGGCGGCCACTCGTCCTTTTTTGCAGATGCTGCAAGATTGGATTTATAAAGTTTTTTTAAAAATTATATAATCATTATTATTTCAAATAATTTTATACTTATATTCATTATGTTTATTATTACTTCGTATTTAATGTTATAATCAATTTATAATGTTTAGATTTTTTTACTGTTATCGATATAGACATAAACTTTTGTAGTATTTATCTTTTATTTATGATATTATAAAAAGGGAAAGTTTGAGGATCCCTACAACGAATTTATGATCTCTATGCAAACTTTCCACGTGGACCGTCTCGATTCAAGGTTTGTTGCTTTACTTATAAGTTTTGTGTGTGGCATTTTATCTCTTTTTTTAGACGTTGGAATAAAGATTTCGTATTGGATCTTGAAAAAGTTCCCCGATTTTTTACAGTGGACTCTGAAAAAGTATCTATAATAATTATTATTACTTTATATAAAGCCCCGAGCGGGCATGTGCTCTGGTTATTATTCAATGTCAACAACTTTACTCTATGTTTAAAATTTTATTTATGATAAACTTCAGTTTTATTTCTTTTTCTTTCTATTGTTATTACTTCCTTTTCTTCTATATGAAAATAGATTTTAAAAACAGGAAAGTATTTAAACGTTATTAAAGAGTGTAATAGAAAAGTTCAATTTTTAGATCCCAAAACTATTTCCTACTCCACGTCGTACTTTGCGTATGATATATAAGAATAATAATAATATTTTAATGCCATACATAATTATAGTAAGTAAATAAACATTCCCACATTAATTATTTTAAAGTTTTTTAACATTTAATTTTCGTTATTATATTTACTATTTTTTAAATTTTCATTATTATCTATAATAAAAGATATCGTTCTTACATTGAAGAAGCCTACAATTATGCAAGCAAAACTTTATTGAATGTTTTGCTTAAAGAAAAACATTTGCTTCTTCATTTTAGGTGAAAACTGTATTATTAATATTATAATTATAATTATAATTATTGTTATTGGTATTATTATTATTAATATTTCACTATTACTTTAAATATACAATTATTACGACAAGCCCCTCCTTTAGATTTAAAATTTATATTCATAATTTTTTTGGTTTAATAAATAAATATTTTGTTATACTTTTATTTCTTGTCAGAACTTTGAAGGGGTATTTCTTGCACGGCTCCAGTTTTTTTTTATCGGACTTTTTAGATTTGGCCGAAGACGAGCTAAGCCTAGCCGTTTCAGAAATATTAATTTCGAAACTGGGTTCGTAAATTTATTATTAACATTAATATTATCACTATCACTATTACTACATTTATTATTTAGAATTGTTTTTGGAAAGAGCTCTTCAAACAGAACGCACAGATTTATTTAAGCAGCAAATAAAGTTTTTTTAAAAAACTCATATATATTGAAAAATATAATATATATTGAAAATCTATTTCATACTAAACCTTTCTAAAATTTCTATATAGTATTATATTTGAACTTTCTTTTATATATATTTTATTTTGAATATATGAAGCTTATAAAAATATTAATTATTTGAAGTAAATAGCAGTGTTTAGTGAAGCAATAATAAAACTTTTTATATTTACGGTTATTAATAATTGCCTATAATAAAATAAAAAGCTGTAAAACGATAGTTTTATAAATATTTTACCTTTTTAATTATACAATAAATATTTATTTTTCAATATTTTTTGAAGTTTATAATATTTAAGAACTTTTACTTTACTTTATTCTACGATTAATATTAACAAACTCACTTCTATTTAAATTTTATAGTAATTAATATATATTATATACTTTTTATATTTTTGCTTATACAATTTACATAATTATTTTATAATAGTGATAAAAGTTTACTTTGCTACTGATATAAAATTTTTTTATAATTATCATTAAAATACAGTAATAATAACTTTTTTATTATGTTATTTAAGTTTTTAATAGAATTAAACCCTTCAATATTCTAATATATATTGTTTATTTAAAGTTGTTACGTCATGAATATATAAAGATTAATAATAATATTTTATTATATTGTTAAAAAGTTTTTACTATCTTTATTCTTATGAAGCCTGTATTTTTTTTATTTATTTATACTAAATAAAATATATTTTTTTTAACTTCAAGTGTTTACAAGTTTTTTGTTAATAGTAAATATTTATTATTATTTAATAAATTTTCTCTATAAATTTATATAACCTAATAAACTATTTTTTATTAACTTCTGTAAATTCTTTTTTTTTTTTTAAATTTAATATTATATTATTATCACTTTATATTCCTATTTACTTTATTTAAGGACTTTCTACTATTATAATATGCTTGTTATAATAATTTTTGTAAATTAATAATAATAAATAATATCTAATCAGATGTGCGTTTGCCCCCGTCGAACTTTTTACTGAACTTTTTAATATTTTGAAAATAGACGAAACTTCTATTATTAAAACTTTTCAGCCAGCAGAGAAGTTAGCTTCTACGGGTACTATAAAATTTATTTATCTATTGTATTGTATACACTTATAAATATAATGTTTAAGTAAATATTCAAAAATAAAAAAAATATATTATATATTTTTTATGGTGACCGTATAAAACCGTTACGAAAAAAGATAATTAAAAAAATATTAAGTGCAAACGGAATTACATAATAAAAAATTTTAGATTTGCATATGAAGTTACTTAATATTTTAAAAAAAAACTACTTTTTATCATTATATTTTTTTATTTATAAAATGTCTGTTACTTTTGATTTAGATTAACAAAAAATAATATAAAGAGTATTCTTTTCACTAAATCACATTTTTATATGAAGAAAAAGGAACTTGTCATAAAAATTCTATAGCTCTTTTTTCTTGTTTTATTATAAAAAACTAATAAATAAATAAAATTTTGAAAATTTTTACAGTTCTTACAAGTAATTTGATAAAAAACTATAACTATTAGCTTTTTTATACAAACTAATTAACAAATATCGTTCAAAACCTTGTTATCTTCTCTTTTATAAAAAATATACCAATATAAAGAAAATCAGGACTTTTTATATTGCTATACAAAACTAATAAAAAAATATTTTCTTAAAATCTAGTTTATATTTTATATATACAAAAATGCTTTATTGAACAAATTTTAATAGTTTCTATATTTTTATATACAATTAAAAAAATAAAACTTTTTATTTTTTATAAGAAACTAATAAAAAGTAGATATACTATAATACTAATGTAAAGTGTCAATATAATGTCATATTATTCATATTTCTTGTAGGCAACAACTTATTTTCGTTGGCTTATACACTTCCTTGGCCAATGCCGTTAGTTATCAGCAATCGTACGTTTCTTTATTACAATAACTTTTATTATAATTTTTATTTGCATCATCTTTTAAACTTATTATTATTATTATATATATTTAATGTTAATTTTTATATTGCAAATTAGTGGTTACGTTTATTAATAAATAATTATCATAAAGATTATTATGTTTAAACAGCGGATTTAAATAGGAAAAATATATATATTAATTATAATTTTTTTTTCTTTTTACTACTTTTACTTATTTTAAAATATTAATAGGAGTTTTGACAAAATATACTTTTCTCTTCCGCTACTTATTTTTTTTGATGGTTATTGGTAAGAACCAATTAATATAATATATTATTATTACTATTTTAATTATTATTTAGAACGCCGCTTATGTTGTTTATGGAAAGACTTTATACGTTCTTCAAAAGCTGTATGTTACCTTTTTAGTGTTTGCTTATATTATTTATATAGATATACTATTATTACCTACAATTTTTTTATGACACAACTAATATTTTCTGTAATATACATATCTATTTCTTAAAAAAATTTTAATAGACTTCATTATATATGATAAACATCGTACATTTTGCTTAATATCTAGAACGATAGTCGAGTCTACGCAGCAACGCTCAGAATAATGCTCGGCTTTATAAAAAACTTGCGCTCTTTTTATTTGCTATACTGCATTGAAAGCAATTGGAGTGGTTTTGAAAATAAAATTCTCGCAGTATTATTATATATATATATTATTATTATATTATTATTATATTACGCTACTATTATTATTATAATAATGATAATTATTATTTATTTATTTAATACAATTATAATACTTTTATATTTTTCAAGGTAAAAACTCTTGACGAAGTTTTAATTACCCACAATGATTTTTTGGACACGTGCTTAAAGCAGTGCATGTTAACCAATAAAGAACTTTTCCAGGTTTTTTTGTTATAGTATTTATTATTTTAATATTTAATTTTTCTATACAATATTAATTATAATAATAATAATAATTAAACAGAAGTTGTATTCTTTGTTAAAACTTATTGAGGACTTTTGCGCTTTTTCTTTTTTGGATTTCATTTCAATTCAGGAAAGTGCACGTATCTTTTCAGAAAAACTAAAAGAATATGTCCGTCTACTAAACTTTCATGCCTCGACAGACTTAAATCAACACCTCCTCCGCTTAATAATAATAATAAATTATAACCAATTTTTTTAAAAAACTTCTTTTTATCTTTTTTTTACCAAAAAGTTTCAGGGTAAAGTGATCGTTTTTCGCTGCTGTGCGACTTTAACCCTGTATTATTAAAAATATTAATACAAAATAAATATCAAAATCATAAACATATTAGCAGAGGATATACATGTATAAATACAAAACTATTTCAACAGAAATGTAATTATTCGTAGCCACCTGGCTTGGTCGAGAAACTCCAATCAAATTTGACTGTATGACAAGGAATGTCTTTTTTATAACTGAATACATTCAAATCATATGATATATGGAAAAAAATTTGCTATTCAGCTATTTAACAACAAAAATAAACTAGTTAAAAAAAACAAAATAAACTCAAGAAAAATGAAGTGCTGTTTGGTTTCAGCTTAAAATAAGAAAAAGTGATATTTAATATATATATATATATATATATATATATATATATTCATTTATATATGTAACCAAGTTTAATCGCATCACGTTTGTTAGATAAGAGAAAATCTCAAATCTCAAAAAAAAAAAAAAAGGTTTCCGACACGGGCGAATAAACAAAGGAGCATTGAAAATCTCGTTAAATAAATTTCTCTAGCGTAAACTTATAAAGATTAACAATATGTGAACTGAAAATAGTTTAAAGTTTAAGAAAATAAGTTGTGTAGCTATATTTTAATTATCACTATTTTACTACAATATATTCATATATTTTTACTACACAATTCTCAAAGAAGGGAAAAATTATTTTGTTAAGTCACCCGTAAACCTACATCTTTATCATTTATAAAGAAAACGCGTAGTAAGTATTCTGATTACGGTTCAGAACAGCCCTCCGAAAGGCTGAAAAGTAATAATACTTCCTTTTTCCTGTTTAATAATTATAAGTTTAACTTTGAAATTCTAAAGATGGCAACTAATTTAGTAAATGCTACTTAATACTGAACTAAAAAAAAACAATCAATTACAGCCAGTTGCAAACCAGGAACTTTGCAAAAATGGAATACTATGCAATCCTTCGTTTTATTAATTGTAGTCGACAATAGATTTTCAACAAGCATAACTTTATTCATAATCCATGTCTCATTCAAGGCAAGCCAATCCACCTATTTGAATAGATTCTTTTTATTCTATACCTTCTTAAATAGAATAGGGGAAGTGTTATATTTCAAATTTCGCTTTTGGTTAATGTGATATTAGATTTAGTTTAAGTATATACCTGTAGAAAATTATACTACATAATTTTGATATGTATACATATCATCTTTTAAGAAATAATCCACAAGCCTTTCGACTTAAGGTTAGGTGCGTCTCTAATTTTAAGGGGTAATTATATTAGTTAAATTAATTGGCTCCGCGGTATTTTATACGTGTGTTTTAATTAAATGTGAGAAATGCTTAAGTTCAAACAAATGGGTTTAACTCTCTACACTTAACTACTCAAAGAATTTGAGTTGCATTACCTAAACGTAGAACGTAAAAAAAAGCTTGAAACTTGTTAAAGAGTTGAATGGCTCAAAACAAGCATAATATTATTAGTTTAACTACAATCTATCTCTACTTAAAGAAATTGATATTTTAAAATGAAGATCTCTAAATCGTTCAAGTGATGCTGCTACCGCAGTGGCTGCTTGTGTAGATGGTTTTCGGGATTGCACCAATGATACAGAAAAAGCAGGGATTTATAAAAGACTGTTTATATTTAGATAAAATAAGAGTCCAACAGTTTAAAACCCCGAAATTAATCGAAAGGTGTTAGGATTTAATACCTTAATGATTTCCTGCCCACTTTATCAGGTGGTGGGAAGTTCAACAAAAGGAATATATGGATAGCTTACTAACCAAGTACGAGATGGGAGAAGCTAAAATTGTAAAGTACCCTGTGATAAATGAAAAATTACCAACCTCTAAATTCTGTTAATAATAAGAAACATAAATACTCACTACAGTATTTCGCAACTTGCTCGAAAATGGATATGTAGTTGGTAGTAAAAAAACTAAATTCCCATATTAAAGCTTATGCAATTTAACACTGAAACGTTGCGAAACGTTTCGTTATTTCAAAGAAATGATAGGATACGAAATAAAGCGACGAAAAAAAATTTAAACAATCATATATTCTAACGCTGACTACGTCTCAGAGTATAACAGAAAATTTAGATCTGCTACCATACTTAAAATAAATGAATGTCCTGTAGTAGGAGGACAAGGCAACAGTACATGTTAACTTTTTATTCGACCAAAGCAGAATTCATAGCAATTGCTGAAAGAATAAAGAGGGAAAAATGGATAAATGCCGTGCTAAAGGAACTTGGAGACATCTTTGGAGATCCCATAAGTATTCTAACCACAACTATCCCACAAAACATACATTAAATCATGGAATTAGAACAGAGGTACCAAGCCATTTCGTAGTTTAAGATCTAACACTCGATTATACACTATCGTGCAAAATTGTTTCAATGTTTTGCATTTTTTTAATTAAGATAGAATAACTTTTCAATAACGTAATGTATTACATTAAATTTCATTTACAGTAAACTTCTATGTCCTAGCTACATTTGGTTAATACTTGATCTTAAATTGGTTTATGAGCTTGTAAAGTTCAAAGACTATAGAAACAATTTTGCACGTAAAAAAAAAATTAATTTAATAATCGAGGTTTCGTAATTAGTATAGCTTCCTTTTGCCAGAAACACTATTTGTACCCTCTCTGGCATACTGGCAATCAGATTGTAGCATTGATCCGGTGTTATATTTTTCCATTCTGATTGTACAAGTCACCAAAAACTCGCCAAGTTAGCAGGAACCGATTCGTGTGATACCAATTATCTCTTTAATGTTCCCCATGTATGCTCAGTGATATTAGGTTATTTCGGTGGCCAGTCTAGCACTTGGAACGATAGTAGTAGGAGCCGTGATCTCACCGGTTGTGCAGTATGACGGGACAGTATCCTGCTTAAAGTTCATTTTATCAAGTCCAAAGCCATACCAAGCGCATTCTAAGTAAGTCATTCTTGATAATGTCCAAATACGTGCTTGCGGTGATGCTCCCTGTCACTTTTTCCAAATATCTGATCCCCTTAGATGTTATACAGGGCCAAATCATGTTTATAAGTTTGCACCACCTGGCGATCAAGTATTCGATCATCGCTGGATAGCTCCCAACACCACCTAATGCCATCTGGACCATATCTATTTACCTTGTCTCGTCCGAGGAAAAATTACTGTTTCCCAGTCAGAAATGGACCAATATCCGCATTTCTTCGCAAACTCATATCTTAGTCGCTTGTGACCGTCTGTCAAAGTGGGTTTAATTAACTTTTTTTGGATGGAGACCAGCAGATGTAATGCTCTCGATATGGTCGATCTTGCAAACTGGGTTTACCTGATGTTTATTTCTATGATTTTTAAAGCTTTCTGTGCAGATTCAATTAATCAATGCCACCTGTCGTACATGTCGAGCTACATCCCGATTTTTCAAGCTCTTTGAACGCCCAGGTTCATTGCAAAGACGATTTGGATCGTATTAAGCTTTGAACCGGGGAATAGTTGGTCATACTGACACCACACTCACGAGCGATCTCAGCGTAAGGCTTGCCTGTCCTAAAAGACATTTTACATCATTTTCTTGACCGATTGAAAGTTTACGCAGTGTTAAAATCTATAAATAAACTATCCTTTATAGTCACTCAAACGCTTTGAAACAAAACCATTGAGTGATCATAAAAATTGCGTATAAAATTGGAACAATTTGGCTTTAAGGGGGTCACAGGCAAAATCGTTTTAGTGGATACTTAAACTTTAAAAAGCGATGAAAACTTAAGAAAGCAAGTCCTCTAACACAACCTACATTAAACAGAACTCAATCTAAGCTTATACATATATAAGGGATCAACATAACCTATTATTAATTAAAGCCTTATAGAATTTTTACGAAAAAATTTAAAAAATAAAAACAATTTTGAACGATAGCGCGGACAACTGTTTTTTTTAAGCCTTTTGCCCTCATGAATAATCCGCTTATTTTTTTTTCTTTTACTCACGTGGTCAGCACTTGAGTTCTTTTTATTTTTTTCCTTATGGGAGGTGTCGTCCTTTATTCTCTTTTCTGTTCTCTTTTTAGATATTTATTTTCTTCAGTTCGTGTAATATTTTATTATTAACACTTTTTTTTTGGTTTTATAAGCCTTTCCTTTTTTAAAACAACAACTCTTTCGGTTTGTTACGACGTAGCAGTTTGTTAAAGATGAACCTACAAGAAAGTGTCTCATTAAAGTACTGTCTTACTAACGAGCTGTTAGCTGATTTTTTTACTTAATGTTTCACTGGCGCTCCGTTCACTAAAATAGTCTTTATAGTAACCAGCCCATAATTGAAAGAGTCAAAATGAATCCTCTAAAAATTTTAAAGCTTATATTCAAGTAGCCGTACATGAAGCCTTCTTTTATAATATTGTGATAGCCTTTTCCTCTTCAGTTGTGAGTCCCTTGTTCATGCGATAGCAGACGCCATTAGTGGGTTTAAGAGTCTGTGTACCCTCAGTCGATAATGTACTTTAAATTTTTAGACACTTTTCCCTCCCTCTCCCTCCCTCTCCCTCCCCACCCTCACTTTCACGATCTCGGAGGCTTCGGGCTGTAACTTAGATTAGGTAGCCCATCGTGGAATTATTTTAATTTTGAAAAATGCAACCTAATCCCCTCCAGTCGTAGTTAAATAATCTGCAAATGTTTTCACATTCTTTTCCCTATATGTAATGGCGTTACTTGGAATCATGAAAATCTTTGTTATCTTTTCACATGAAGAATGTGTAAGACCCGGCTTCATTCCTCCTAGGCTACGCCCCCTCATAGCACTCTACTTAGGTTACGTGGTTAGTTTCATTTTTGATCCATTTAGTGTATACACCATATACACACCCGAGGAGAAACCAAGTTGCGTTTATTTTCTTTATGGTCTGGGTGAACTTTCTTGCTACGGATCCTATCCTGGTTTATTATTCTCATGATCTTTCTAATAATCTGTTGTTCTGATGTGTTTTATTAGTCTGTCCGTCTTGTTATTCTTCTATACTGTTTATTCCTTTTATTGTCTCTTATTTAATAAAGTTGTATACGTTCTTTGTCTACTGATACTATTTTCATACAAACGCTCAGCCATCTTCATAGAAAGGACGTGACCTTTCAATGCATTTCGAGATGTGGCGAAATATAAATTCTAAAAGAACAAAAAAAGTTCAAATGAACGAGTTGTACGTAAACGAAAAATTGATAGGTTAAAAACTTTATAAACTAAGTTCTCGAACAAAAATTTTTTTTATAGTAAGTTATAGGGAAGTTTTTAAATTGTAAAATAATTCTTATCGTTCTTAATAAAACTCTTAGTTTCAAAATTATTTGAAGATTAGCGACACCTCTACTAACGAAAATACACAAAAGCTAAAGTACCTTTTTGCAAGCAAGTGTTTCCATTTAGCATTTTAGGTATTGTCGTAATTGAAAACGCGTAAGCTGAGTGTCATCGACATAGAGTACAAAGCGGAGTGTGAGGATTCGCAGAATTTGGTATGTTCTGCATGTACAGCGCGTGGTACGGAATTTGAATAATATCTCCCATTCCTGCGCTTTCTTACAAATTACCAGATTGACTGGTAAAATTCAAAATTATAATTCGTAAGTGTATATATAGCTGGCTTCCTTAAGTGTTTATGATTAAATATTAACCCTTCTTTGGTTCCGCAATAAATTATCTCTTTGCAGGTATTTAAATTATACATCCTTTCAAAGAAAACTCTTTCTTTACGTATCTAGATTTCTGTTGTTATTTCTTGTTGGCAGTCTTCTTAATTCTACGTCTACAAGCTTATTATTCTCTTTTCCATCCCCCTCGCTAGGATCTAGCTCTACTTTCGTTAAAATCTGTCTTTAAGGCTGTTCATTTTACCTTTACCTTTTAATCTTTCCATCATTTTTTTATTTAATATTTTCGCCCTTTTTACTTCAATAAAAAAGAGAATTGATAGAAGATAACCTTTCAAAACAACAGCAGTCAGTAGACGGTGTGACAACAACGTAGTTCTAATTTTCATTCGAACGGTGCATTTGCATAGAAACAGAGTTAGTTAATTATAGAGGTCTAAAGGAGCACCTAGTACTGTAGTTTCGTTAGGAGAACCCTGTGTTATGAATAGTCAAAGATTTCTTCAACGCCGAGGAAGACAACACTCGTGGATTTCTTAATATTAAAGTTGAGTTGTTTATTAAACAAAGCGCAGGAAATGTTATGTCACCTAGTGAACTCTGAAATACAACTTGAAAAAAGGCATAGTAGAACAGCCTACACAATGTTTACCCACTGCTTGAACTAGGCTAATGAGGCGCGATTTATTGGGATTTAATGAAGCCTATGAGTTCTTAAGTAACATTACATTAGTAACTGTTATCCATCACGATCGGAAGGAGGATAGTGACATGCAGAATTTGCAAAATAAGCGAGATAATTCGTCACCAGCAGCAACAAACGTCTAGTTAATAAAATGGTGAGGGCTATGTTATTTGATTCTGACTTGCCCTAGATATTGTAGAAGAAGCACTGTTGTATTCTGATATACAAGAAATATCATTGCGACAGCTCTGCCACCCAAAACCACGGCCCATGAACTTTTAATTAAGGAGAAATCTGTTGAGGAAATTCCGTATATATGGTTGCATAGTGTTCTATTTTTAATCAGCTTCCCTTACCTAAATTAACAAAAGAGCTAGAAATGGTTTTTTTAATGGTTGAGACATTTCTAAGCATTGTTGTAAGATATATGGGCCCCCAAACAACTTTAATATTTACATAGAAAAGGTTCGTTTTGTAAAAATGATAACGAGCAAGTGTAAACCCAACCACGTTAAACTCTTACCTCTATTAGTCCTATTGCAGTTTTTATCACTATAAAACAGGCTGATTGGGAGAAATGCAAAGATGAGAGATTGTCTTCGATTCTAGCTGTCAAACAGGTTGTAAGTGAGTGGTCGACATAACAACGATCTAGGCACTAAAGCGTGAAGATCAAATATCGTTAATAATATCTAAATGCCCTTATTGTGAACGTTCGGAGTACAACACCACTACATATCTATTAAATAAGCTTTAGAAAGTGAATAGCGATGAATGACTTTAAGCTATTAACCAGGTGTTCGGGTATAATGCAAAGAATAAAACTTGGATACCGGCCATTCTTCTTAGGAAAAAAAAAAGAGGGTCAGGTAAGTGGTTATTGAAAATAAAAAGCAGCTCTGATGGGAGCATTGACAACTTTAAAGCCAGATCTGCGCCAAAGATTTTATGCAAGTGTATGGAGAAGATTATTTGCTAAACTTAAAACTATTCGAATCTTTCTTTCTTAACCGCTCCTTTGAGAATGTGAGATTACGGTTTATGTGGGCGAGATGCATTTACTATTTCTTTACTTAAAGAAGAATTTACCTCGCCATACCTCAAGGTGCTATCCATTAAAGAAGGATTTAGCTGTGTTAAACTACTTAAATCGATTCTAGATTTTAAGCAACAAGTATGAGGTGGAATTAACTATGCATGGAAAATTGATTAGGTTTGGTTTTCAACAATGTTACAATGCCATGTGAAGGTTATAGTAATAGCGGTTATGCCAGTTGCAAGGATACAAGGCGTAGCACTACAATATATAATTTTTTGCTCAATAGAGTGCCCACTATATGGTAATTAGCCTTGCAGAAACCAGGGCCTTGTCTATTAGGGTATTTAAATTTTTACTTGCTGATATCTAAACCTTA